TGGAAGAGATTGGGGTCTCCCCACGTTATGTTTCAGTAGTTAGCATTGGATCCAATTCAGCCACCTTCACTGCAGAGATGGCACAATTCTTGTCACTTGCTTAGTCACTTACTTAGTCACTCTTCTTCTAACTTGGTGTGTAGAGGTTTGCCAGACTTCTCTATCAGCGGTTTTCTTTTTGGCTTTGTTCCATTCCAGTCCTCTGTCAGTGAAGGACAGTCAGATGTTGGCTTCCACTGTTTCTTAGCCTCCCATACCTGCCATGGTGGCTGATTTTCTCCCATTCTGCATACATGTCCAAACCATCATAACTGACTGATCCACTCGGGTTTGTAAGGCCTGGGTTTAAAGATCCTGACGTATTGTCTGATTGTAAGCTTTGTCCCAATTTGTCACTTGGACTACCTTTCTCAGATATCTCATTTCCGAGGCTTGAAGCTGACTTCTGTGAGCTGTTGTCATTGCCCACGACCCACATCCATAGGTTAGGACTAGCACATAGCCCTACAGTTTTTGTTGTTGTCTGGATCTGTTCTTCAGGCTGTGCTAGTGTTCTGTGAAATGAAGAGGCAGACGGTCTGGCTGGCTCTATACAACTTGGTGAAATATTGATGCATGAAAAAGTAGAAGGGCCTTGTGGGAGAATGTGTACACATTTGAAGGAACAAATGGATCACCACAGTCTTGTGAGAGCGATGCTCTGGGGAATGACGAGGGGATCTGGCTGATACTTGACGCTCAGAGGAAAGGCAAGACGGACGTATAATCAGAATGCTGTTGGCACCATTGGTATTGGAACTCTGTGCTGGCTGCTGGAGATAGGGAGGTAGTGCTTATGGAAATGCCCTGAGTACTGTGATGATAGTTCTTAAATCAACTCAACTGTATAATTTAAAAAAAAGTTTTAATTTTTTTTTTTTAATTTAAATTTTTTACTTTATTTCAATTCCACAGATGTTTATGATGTGACTAAAATCAGCCAAAAGCTACAGATCTTTTAAGTATCTGATTGATTATGGATAAGGAATCAGATGAGAACTCATCTCTACTTCATGATGCTCATCAATTGAAGAAGCCCAGTTACACTGAAAGTTTATCTGATGCTGGTGAAAAAGAACTCAGTAAAACTGATTATCCTGCTGCTAGGATTCGAACCTCGATCAATGACTCTGACAGTGAAGGCATCATGGTGTATCCAAGTGGTGGAGTGTTAGAAGATGCTGAGGTTTTATGTAGAGGGTATCAGAGGTCAGGTTCGCACCACCCCTTTTTGGGATCTGAGAGATCATTCATTGAGCCCACAGCAAGGTAGTGTTTGAGTCCATTCACAACTTTAGTTGTACTACTTCTTCTTCTTCTTCGTGTTCACCTGCTGTAAACTCTGGCAAAAAGTTGTGGTTGTTCATCCACTTTTGGACTGCAGTTCTGTTCCAGAACCTGAGTGTTGTGTGTGCATCTATTTAACAGATCTAACTCATCTGTATGCAGATTGCTGGTTCCTTGCCTCTCAGGCAGATGCACTCTGACTTCAAAGGAAGCTCCCAATTCATCGACTCTTACGACATGCTTTCGGGTAGGCAAAGGGTCTATTCTTGTTTTCCATATAATAGGGCCCCAGAACCTGCACGGTGGAATTGTACTACTGATCATCATTATTATACCATCATTATTGTCATTACATCACATTATCATCACATTATATAATTATTATATTGTAAGATAACACCCCTAATTAGTTGACTGTTACGTATTTGTTAGGAAGGCTACCCCCCCCCCCCCCCCCCCCCCCCCCCCCCACCCCCGTCTTTTGTTTCATTGGAGACCATTACCTGCATAGGGAGACTGACATTTGTATAGACCAGTTGGCAATCACTGGATGGTGGGAGCAACATCACATATTTTACTTCTCAGGACTTTGCCCAGTACCCATTTTAGGCTGCGTCAACCAGGGAGTTAAGGCCAAAAAAAAAAAAAATTTAGACTTGATGTTGATTTAAACCTAAGACCTTCAAGCCGGCTTGTGAGTGTCTAACCCTTACACCACCACAGTTCCCTTCTCAATTATTTGTTACTCATACTAACAGACAAAAGACAGTCTCAGAATACTACAAAGCCAGCCTAGTTTTAGCTCACTGGAAAGAAATTTTAAAATAAACTGACCTCGGTATCCTGGGAAGTAGGATATAGATAGTTAGCGATCTGTTTATCATTTAAGTGGAAACAGCTAAGTGTACAGATCACCCCATTGTCTTTCTACTTCCTGAATGTGTACGTTACAAACCACCTTCAGATTTGTGTGAGGAGTATTTAGAACACTTGAGTATACATACGTGTAGACAATATGTCAATAGAAGTGAAGAGTAATGACTGTACAACACTGTTTCTTCTTCATCTTCAGCACCCCGAGCTTTTGAGGTTGATTGCTGCAGATATTGCCTGCCTCTTTTAATCTCTGGGACTGGCCTTCTCTTTCCTGTTTAAACACTTAACAAACACACACACACATCCATACTCATATGCACACTCATACGTACAATATAAACATTTAAATGAACATCTGAGACCTAAAACAGGTGGCAGTGAGCTGCAAGTTATGGAGAGCTATGAACTCTGCCAACCACTGAGGGAAGAGCTGTGCCAACCACTCAGGGAAGAGCTGTGCCACCCACTGAGGGAAGAGCTGTGCCACCCACAGAGGGAAGAACTGTGCCACCCACTGAGGGAAGAGCTGTGCCACCCACACAGGGAAGAGCTGTGCCACCCACTGAGGGAAGAGCTGTGCCACCCACACAGGGAAGAGCTGTGCCACCCACTGAGGGAAGAACTGTGCCACCCACTGAGGGAAGAGCTGTGCCACCCACTGAGGGAAGAGCTGTGCCACCCACACAGGGAAGAGCTGTGCCACCCACTGAGGGAAGAGCTGTGCCACCCACTGAGGGAAGAGCTGTGCCACCCACTGAGGGAAGAGCTGTGCCACCCACAGAGGGAAGAACTGTGCCACCCACTGAGGGAAGAGCTGTGCCACCCACACAGGGAAGAGCTGTGCCACCCACTGAGGGAAGAGCTGTGCCACCCACTCAGGGAAGAGCTGTGCCACCCACTGAGGGAAGAGCTGTGCCACCCACTGAGGGAAGAGCTGTGCCACCCACAGAGGGAAGAACTGTGCCACCCACTGAGGGAAGAGCTGTGCCACCCACTGAGGGAAGAGCTGTGCCACCCACTGAGGGAAGAGCTGTGCCACCCACTGAGGGAAGAGCTGTGCCACCCACTCAGGGAAGAGCTGTGCCACCCACTCAGGGAAGAGCTGTGCCACCCACTGAGGGAAGAGCTGTGCCACCCACTGAGGGAAGAGCTGTGCCACCCACTGAGGGAAGAGCTGTGCCACCCACACAGGGAAGAGCTGTGCCACCCACTGAGGGAAGAGCTGTGCCACCCACTCAGGGAAGAGCTGTGCCACCCACTCAGGGAAGAGCTGTGCCACCCACTGAGGGAAGAGCTGTGCCACCCACTGAGGGAAGAGCTGTTCCACCCACTCAGGAAAGAGCTGTGCCATCCATTCAGGGAAGAGCTGTGCCATCCACTCAGGAAAGAGCTGTGCCACCCACTCAGGGAAGAGCTGTGCCACCCACTCAGGGAAGAGCTGTGCCACCCACTCAGGGAAGAGCTGTGCCATCCACTCAGGGAAGAGCTGTGCCACCCACTCAGGGAAGAGCTGTGCCACTCACTCAGTGAAGAGCTGTGCCACCCACTCAGGGTAGAATTGTACCACCAACTCAGGGAAGAGCTGTGCCACCCACTCAGGGAAGAGCTGTGCCACCCACTCAGGGAAGAGCTGTGCCACCCACTCAGGGAAGAGCTGTGCCAACCACTCAGGGAAGAGCTGTGCCACCCACTCAGGGAAGAGCTGTGCCACTCACTCAAGGAAGAGCTGTGCCACCCACTCAGGAAAGAGCTGTGCCACCCACTCATGGAAGAACTGTGATGTTTACTGTCTGCATGTGTCCGTGCATGATGGGAATGTGAACTAGCAATCAGCAATCAAAAGACAAAGATTATAGTGCAAGATTTTATTTTTTGACAGACCTGCAGTCCACACTGACGGTGAAGAACCAAAGACAGTTGACCATTTTACCTATCTGGGTAACACAGTGAATAACAAACTATCGCTGAACCAAGAAATCAACATCAGTATGTTTCTTGGAGAAAGAAAATCAGTAAAGAAATGGGAATAAAGGGAACCAAAATTATTGCAGAAAAGGTGAGAGCTGAGCATCTGAGGAGAAGCACCCTCAATACATGTGATGGTAACATGGGTCTTGCGATCCCATGTTCTTTCTATGGAAAACTTTTCCTAATGTTGGGGTCTCCATGGGTTATGGTTCCTATCCTCCCCATAGCAAAATATAATTCTGTCACTTAGAAAGTCAGAAATATGCCAAGAGAATTAATATTATTATTATTATAAATACATCTAACATAGATGGGTGGATGGATGCATGTGATGGGTGGATGGATGGATGTGATGGATTGATCAGTTAATGAGAATAGATTAGAAAGGGGTTTTGTAGGTCTGTACGTTGATAGGTAGATGGATGATGCAGGAGAGCAAGTAAATAGACAGTATGGCTAGCTGGATGGACAGACGGATACATATTTGATTAAGTAAAAGAGACCAAAAAGTGGACTAAGCAAACAAGAACATCCAAAAAAAAAAAACCCTAAGGAGAATGTTGATTAGAGAGGCCAGTAGTATTGGACTAAGGTCCATGAGTGATACTGAAACAGTTGAGAATTGGAAAAGTTGACTGCAAGTCTTATGTGGCATACAATGCAGCATAGAAGGATGATGATAAATATAGTAAAAAGGGACTGGTATAGTGCCGGCCCTATAATCCCTTTTGGTCCTATTGGTTACACAAAATATGAAAACGTTTTTTCTTGAATATGCCAGTTTGGCTTGCCAGAAATGTGTATTGTCTTCCATTCTTCGTTGTCACCAGCAATATACAGACACTTATGCATCTGATCAAGGGAAACATTGGCACTGGGATCCTGGCCTTGCCGATTGCCGTCAAACATGCAGGGTTGTGGGTAAATGTTTGTATTTAAATGTGACCTAACCTGTTCATCTTCTTGGTTGCTGGGTTGACCTAGCCTAACATGGGTACCAGCTAGAATCCTGGGAAGTTAAGACAGGGGATGTGTTGTTGATCTCATCACCCATCGAGTGCCGATTGGTCTTTGAAAATATGAGTCTAGCATCATATGCCACATTCACCACAGACATGAAAATGTTCTGTTATTTTTAATATCTGTTTATCCTGTCTTCCTAGAAAGACTAACTCAATTGGTCACTTCCCATAAATGCTGATATATGGCCATGTCTGCAGATACCTTTTCTCAAAAAGCATACTTAAATTTACTTTGTCCTATATGTGTCTGCACCATGTTTAACTCTTTGAGTCCCAGAGGGTTTAGCATCACAGACTCAAGGGGTAGTCAAGAGAGACGTAAAATTGGCGCATCATGTGTTCATTGGGCTTCTAGGCAGTAACCTATGAACGTATAATGCGTTCCTTGGGACTCAAAGAGTTAATAGGCCAGGATCTGATGTTAGTAACTTAAAATAGCAATTATGAGGGTTTCCTTATGCTCTCAATGACTTTTTGAAAACCAAATTGATGTTATATTTTCCCTTAAGCCTCAGAGATTAAGGTCATAGGGACAAAGCTAGTCACCTGAAACTTATTTCTTATAGACCCTTGGAATGAATTCCATTTTATGCTTCACTCTGATTATGTTTATTGATTGCACCTTTTTATATCTTTATACATTTGGAAAAAATAAAATTTTGGATAAATAAATTTGTAAAGATTTTATTTGTGACCTGTCTAATATGCTAGTTGTTAAAAGGATTTTTTCATGGAAAATGGTAACACTATGATTTAAGAATGTTATTACTGTTATTAACCAAACCAAATATGAGAGAAAACTAGCCACTTTTGAATTAAGTTTTTTGAGCAAGGCTGTGAACCAAACTTGAAGAGATTGTTTGAGAAATGAAGAGATTAGGAAAAACTTTTTGAACACTGGCATTATTATATACATTGAGAGACAATCATTATGTTATCACAGTCGATGTCACTGCACATTGGGTGTTCCTATACATGTTCAGTCCTCAGATGCAGCAGCCACTCCAATATTTCTGCTCTTTAATGTTAATATTTTTACTCATGTTATTTTACAGTGTTATCATAATTTTTATTTCAAAACTTTTTTACTATTAATATTTTTAACCTGTTTTTTTACATAATTGTTACTGTTGTTATTTTAAAACATTATTTCTATTGTTATTTTAAAATGTCATTTCTGTTTTTTTTTTCTAAACATTTATTTTACATTGCTGTTACTGCTGTTTTAAAATATTAATACTATAATTATTTTACAGTGTAATTACTGTTTATTGACAATATGTGTTGCTGTTACAGACTGGCCTGATAGGGATTATTTGTATTGGGATCATTGCCGTCCACTGCATGCACATTCTGATCAATAGCAGCCATATATTGAGTCGGAGGTGAGCACATCATATTATTAACTCGTTCAGTCCGAACAACACGTAGTGTGTTATGGGATAATCCTTTTGTGTCATAGCCAACACATAATGTGTATTTTTTAAGTTTTAAATTTGGTCAAATCATATTCCAGAAATCTGGCTACCCAAATGATCATTCTGATGTGTTTGGTCTTTGTCTGGCATTCATAAGTTTTGTCCCACCTAGGGATTTGCTGCTAAATCCTCTGGTTCCCAAAAAGTTAATACAAATATGTAGTCATGTGGCTTTAAGTTTAGTGAAGGCTTTTTACAGTCATCAATATAAGAGGGCTGCTATTGAGTCCCAGACCCAAATACTTTGGTTGAGGAAGAGGTAAGCATCTACCTAGAAATTAAAAAAAGCCAGCAACTACTCTTGGCCGAGGTGATGAAACTAAGGAGGTAAACTTAAAACTGCAGTCGGAAGTGGACCAGACAAGAAAGCTAATTGAGGAGAGAGGGCCGAAAAGGAAGCAGTCAGGCAAGCGGCAATCAAGGCTGAGCATGAATGTGTACTTGGAAAGAATAAATGATAGGATGCAGTAATCACAACCAAAATAAATCAATAAATTACAAATACAGAACTGCTCAATCACAGAATAGTTTTATAAAAGATGCTGTTGGTTGGTCAGTCTGTGTTAGAATCCATACCTACTTTATCAAGTGTGTCAGCCTTTTCTCTACTGTTATGAATGTTGATTACTTATTCTCTTCTTTAAAGGGAACAAGAAATGACTCCCCTGTTTTCCCAGCAAGTATGTTTACAAAACATTGTTGTGTATGCTTTACAGGATGTTGCAGAACCAACCCCCAGTATTTTTTGTGCTGTTGTGTGATTTTACTAGGCGGTTTTATGTTTAGTAGTTTGCCTTTGCTTCTGGAGGGTCGGCTCCGATACCTCTAAAGTTGTAAAGGTGACTAGGGGTGTTCTTTCAAAGTTGAAGTGCATCTGCTTGATAGGCGAGGAACCAACAGTCTGCATATAAGTAAGCCAGATCTGTGTAGAATAGATGTGCACTCAGAACTCAAGTTCTGAAACAAGACTAATGACCAGTGACCAAATGTTGCTGGGCAACAGCCAGAAATTTCTACTGGAGCTTATTGGTGGTGCATGCTAAGAAAAAGAAAACATCACATCTTACTTGGGTCCGAAAGATTTCAGTTTTAAAAATCTATTCTCCTTATGTCTCCAGGACCGGACGTTTTGCTTTGGACTACGCCGATGTCATTGAGATTTGCCTGAAAACGGGGCCTAAGTCACTACAGAGGTTTTCCAAAACTGCAAGGTACATGAAATTATATTGTGACTGTCCTAAACATTTAGTTAAAATACTGTGTTTGTAGTTTTCACATTTCTTACTCAGTTATTGATGAAAACATTCAGAGCTTTTGACTTGAAATGTTACAGGAAAATTCTTAGAATGTCATGGACCAAGCAGAAGAAAACACATCGACATCCTACAACCTGACTTCTGTGCCAGACTGTTCATGACTGAGTCACACACACTAAGTAGTGGTGCCAGAGTCGATAACATCCTTTGTAAAACTTCCTACTCCACTCAGAAACTTTCTGAATTGACAGGCTTGCATTGCCGCACTGGACCATCAGACACTGAAGAAATTATATAGGTTTTACCCCTTCGCTGATTTAAAAAAAAAAAGGATAACAAAACACTGCTCCGCTTATGAAAATATAGCTGTGTTTGTCTGCACTTTAATATTACATGTTTAACACTCTTTACCTTCTTAACCACAGACGACAGGTTAGAAGAGAAGGGCATGTTTATTAAAATGTCTCTAACACTTTTAAAATTTTGAAGCCGGCTATTATGTGGTCTGAACGTCGATCTAAAAGAGATGACAGAACACTGCTCCTATTTTGAAAATATAGCTGTGTTTGTCTGTAATATAACGTTAAGTGTTTAACTCTTTAACTCTATTTACATCGTGTTTAACTCTTTAACTCTATTTACATCCTTAACAACAAAATTGACAGGCTAGAAAATATAGCATGGTCATTGTAATGTTTTTTCAGACTTTCGTTTGAATCTCACTCTCTTATGTGATCTGAACATGAAGGGGAACTGGTTCATTTACAGCTCCTGTCCCCAAAACAGAGATGTTTTGGCCATTTTAAATGTCCTGGTAGCCTAGAAAAAAAAGGGTACAGTTTTCAGAAAACGAGGCAGTGGCAGACTTCCACGAAGGTGGATACAAAACCTTGAAGATAGTGAAATGCACAGAGGTTTGGAGAATTGGCTAGAGAAAGAGATACTTTTCCACGAGGCTTGTCAAGAGCAACATTTTTAAAAAATATGCTTTAACAAAATAAAGTAATACATTGTTATCTGATGGCACATTCATTAGTTGGCGGGAAAGCCCATATGCCTAAAAACTATCGATGACTAGGCATAGTAACTGCTAATTGAATGGCTGATCCCCGTGTGGGTTCCGGAGCCCTATTATAGGGAAAACAAGAAGAGACCAACTGCCTATCCAAAAGTATGTCATAAGAGTCGACTAATAGGGAGCTTCCTTCGAAGCCGAAGTGCATCTGCCTGAGAGGCAAGGAACCAACAGTCTGCATACAAATTAGTCAGATCAGTCAAACGGATACACACGCAACACTCAGGTTCTGGAACAGGACTGCAGTCCAGAAGTGGATGAACAACCAGAACTTTATGCCGGACTTTACAGCTGGTGAATGCGAAGAAGAAGAAGATTAGTTGAACCCTAAGGTGATCTTGTGAGCAGTTTTAACAATTTCACTTGTTAAATTATGAAGATTTTGCATGTCGGAACTATGTTCCTTGTATTAGCTTTTCTGTATAATATACCAATGTCACGAAAAAGGTCTCAATTTTATCTACTTCTTTATCTTGCATTCCCAACTCTAGGTGCATGGTAGATGCCTTCCTTATATTCACACAGTTCGGATTTTGCTGTGTGTACATTGTCTTTGTGGCAACCAATGTTGGCAAGGTAAGTACTTTGTCGTAACCATCATCATCAACTTCCACTTTCACTGTTAACCCTGCCACCCCTTGAAAACCGGTTTTATGACTTTTATGGGTTTTCGATGACATGACATTCTTAAGCAATTGACCTATGCCTGAATAACAACTTTGGTACTGGTTTCAACTGCATGTATGTAAAAATAGTAAAAAAAAAAAATTTCCTTTTTGTTTTTTAGATATTATTTGTGGTGATTTATTTTTCCACTGTAACATCATAATAAACTGATATATGATGACACCACTCTGCACTCTGAGGCTGTAAAAACATTACTCCTGTTTTCTTTGTCAAAGGGAAGGAAGACAGTTATTTCCTCGCTGTTTATTTTTAGTGATTACTACCCTTCATTAAAAAAAAAAAAAATCACCTTAGCGCAAAACAGTGACTCTAAATATGAACGATCCGTCTACTTAATAACTTTGGTCTGCGAGATACGAAAAACTAGCAGGCTTGTCTCTCGGCTCAGTGGTTATAGGTTTCAGCATCCTGGAGTTTTAATTGAAACTCACCTAGACTCCTTTCTTTTCTGCTTTTTCTCTTCCTCTAGTTTTTTAGGATAGTTTCACAAAATTAAAATGATGCATTTCTTGTTAGTTTATTTTGAAAATGCTCATATTTATGTGAGGTAAAAGGATGAAATGTCAGTTTTTATTAAAGCATCTCAGACTAGCCAGCACCTGCATTTTCACAGCTTTGTACCTTTTGAGTATAAACACGCCCGGTTCTCTAGCGAAGTTGGTTAAACCTGACTTTCACGGCGGCCGGGTGACGAACTCCTTGTGGTCTGGGTTCAATCCCGGGGGTAGGCAGAAAAGCCACATTTCTCCCAGATTAACGGTACCTATAATGGAATCAAGGCCGAATGGTTGCGATATCCATAGTACCGAGCCAAAGGGTTTACAACTCATGGTTTCTGGATACGTTAAAAACAAAAAGAGTATAAACATGGCCTAACCAGAAGCTTGCTTAAGCATGCCACAGGTGTATCCCAGGCTGTAAAGATAGGCTGTAACAGTTGTGTATATATCCAGTTTTGCATCAAGATAGATCGTAACAAATTTGTATGTAGCCAGATTTTATTTAAAGATAGATCCACTGAATTATTTTGTTGAAGATGTGTCATTTCAGTTATTTGTACATGTCTCTAGGTGATTGATCAGTTCCACCCTGATGGACTGAACTTACGTGTGTATGAGGTGATCGTTGCCGTTGCTCTGATGCCATACGTCTGCGTCAGGAACTTGCAGGCACTGGCACCATTCTCTGTGTTTGCAAATATTCTTACAGTTACGGGTAAGTACATGTTTAGAATGTTAACTGTGTCGGCCCAGGAAGGCTAAATCTAGTCACTTCCTGTTGTGGCTCAGTCTCCTAAATGTCCATATATGCCCATGTCTGCAGTTACTTGTTCCCGAAAACATCATCATCATGTAGCAGGTCCTTTGCAGAACGTCGCTCTCATCACAGTCTGCCTGAAAGAAACTCGGTCTCTCGCCAGTTCTCCTGCCTCATACACTTTCACACTCAAGGAGTCACTTATATCCTGTGCCCATCTTCGTGTCGGTCGGCCCCTGCCCCTCCTTCCTGGTACCATGCCTTCTGCTATAATTTTTTCCAATCGGTGGTGGCGCTTGATATGACCAAAATATTTCAGCTTTCGGGACAGGATGCTGTTTATTAGCCAATCTTCCTTGATGTTCAGATCTTTTAAAATGTCAATATTTCTCATCTTCTTTGTCCAAAATATGTTCTCAAAAAGCAAAGGTAAATTCAACTGGTCCTGTGTGTTCCTGTGCAGTGTTTCGTATGCCAGGATTTGAATTTAGTAACTAAAAATAGCATTTGGAAGGTTTCCTAATGACTCGAATGGCTTTTTTAAAGCAGTTTGATGTTAGATTTTCCTACAAGCCTTAGGGATAGACGTAACGAGATTGTGGTGTTGTCACCATGGGGAATATATTCTGTTTAACTTTTTACCCTGTTTGTGTTTATTTATAACCCCTTAAATATCTTTATATATTAAAAAAAAAAAAAACACAAAGAACAATTTAAAATGTAGATAAATACTTTTCAAAAAATTTATTAGTGACCTGTTTAATGTGGTTGTTTAAAAAAATTTTTTCCCCAGAAAAGTATGTGGCTTCATTACACATTAAAAAAAAAAGCGTACAGTGGGCAAAAAGGATGAGAATGTAAATGTGAAACTATATATGTATCTATGGAAGTACATTTTTGTATATGAATGCATTGAGGACCCCTGGTACCTATTTTAGTCTAAGTTGAACTAAGAACTGAAGTCAATTATAAAAAATTTGTTTTCATCTAAGGATGTTAATAATGGTCTTTCTTATTCTTTGTGATCATTTTTCTCTCAAAATTCCATGTTAGAATCAGAATATTTTCCTTCAAAATCCTAAGAATTCTAAAAATATTGATTCACCTCAAAATGACCTGACATATTTTTTCCCCTTAAAATTGTGTCGCAATGTTTTCTGTCAGAATTACATGCCACCTTGTTTTCTCTCAGTGTCACAGTGTTTTCTCTCAGCATCATAGTGTTTTCTCTCAGTGTCACAGTGTTTTCTCTCAAAATTACATGTCACAATTTTTTTCTCAAATGTCAATGTCACATTAAATTCCCTTAGAACTTAGATTCACAATGTTTGCTCTCAAAATTCTGTGTCACATTAAATTCCCTCAGAATTCAGATTCACAATGTTTTCTCTCAAAATTCCGTGTCACATTAAATTCCCCTTAGAATTCATATTCACAATGTTTTCTCTCAAAATTTCGTGTCAAAATTTTTCGCCAAATTTCCATGTCACATTAAATTCCCTCAGAATTCAGATTCACAATGTTTTCTCTCAAAATTGTGTCACATTAAATTTCCTCAGAATTCAGATTCACAATGTTTTTTCTCAAAATTGTGTCACATTAAATTTCCTCAGAATTCAGATTCACAATGTTTTCTCTCAAAATTCCGTGTCAGATTGTCCTCATTCAATATCCCATATAAAATTGTTATCTGTCCCACAGGTTTGTTGATCATTATCCAGTTCGTTGTACAAGGATTGCCAGACGCATCCTCGAGACCTTCGTTTACCTCCTTTGGAGAGGTCCCTCTGTTTTTTGGAACAGCAATTTTTGCTATTGAAGGCATTAGTTTGGTAAGTTTATTTACTAACTTACTCTGTACTCTTTCAGTCTCAATGGCCTTGGCATTGTGAGTGCACTTCATAATTCCAGGGTGCTGGGTTCAATCCCAATGGCGGGTGATTTGGTAGCAGAAGCCTTCTGTTGGGTTCAACAGTGGCATCATGAGCCAACTTTTTAGTAGCAGTGACAAACAACCGAATGTAAAATTTCTTGATGAAACCACAAACAGCAACAACAACAAAATTAGTTTTGGAGTTGGTTCTACATCTTTCTGTAAAAAATATGCTAATAACTTTTTAACTCTTTCACTCCGATAAGCAAATTTAAAGAATATTTTAAGACACAAACATGTATATCCATTAATACTTTAAAAAAAATAACAGTTTAAAATTCACATAATCATTCTCGATGACCATGTATTTGATTGTGTCTTTGTTGATTGTCTTTGTTGCCCCAGGTACTTCCTCTGGAGAACAACATGAGACACCCAGAAGATTTCGCTGGCTGGACAGGGGTCCTCAACCTGGGAATGGTGGGCACTGTCTGTCTGTACACGGCTATTGGTTTCTATGGTTACCTGAAGTTTGGGGATGATGTACAGGACAGTGTGACATTGAGTCTGCCTACAGATGATTGGTAAGTCCGCTAGACCAGTGTTCTTCAACACATGGTCCACAGTTCACTCTTCAGTTCTGTAGCTAGTCCAGTGTTCTTCAACTCATGGTCTAAGGTTCTCTCTACAATTCTGTAACTAGACCAGTGTTCTACAACTCATGGTCTGAGGTTCTCTCTAGTTATGTAGCCTGACCAATTTTCTTCAACTCATGGTCTGAGATTCTCTACAGTTATGTAGCTAGACCAGTGTTCTTCAACTCATGGTCTGAGGTTCTCTCTAGTTATGTAGCCTGACCAATTTTCTTCAACTCATGGTCTGAGATTCTCTACAGTTATGTAGCTAGACCAGTGTTCTTCAACTCATCGTCTGATGTTTTCTCTACAATTCTGTAAGTAGACCAGTGTTCTTCAACCCATGGTCTGAGGTTCTCTCTACAGTTATGTAGCGTGACCCATCTTCTTCAAATCATTTTATGAGGTTCTCTCTACAGTTACGTAGCTAGACCAGTGTTCCTCAACCCATGGTCTGAGGTTCTCTCTACAGTTATATAGCTAGACCAGTGTTCCTCAACTCATGGTCTGAGGTTCTCTCTACAGTTATGTAGCTAGACCAGCGTTCATCAACCCATGGTCTGAGGTTCTCTCTACAGTTATGTAGCCTGACCAATGTTCTTTAAACCATGCAAAATATTTTGCAACTGAACAGTAGGTATACCAAGTTTGACTTTTTACAAAGTAGACATATTGATGTACCACTCATCAAGGAGCTGTTTACCGCCTTACAAGCAGTGGCTCATTTGCAGCTCCATGACAGAGGTGTCTATCTGAAACACAACAAAGAAACAGTTCCCCCAGAGTGCTTTAAAATCACCACTCACACATTGAGCTTACAGTTGTTTCCAGATCCAGACGTTAACTGGGTCTAAACCAACACCCTCAGATCCAAGCTCTTTCCCGCGCCTCTTACACTGCACCCACAGTGTTACTGCATTGCTTTGGGTAGTGACATCAGACAAACCACGTCACTGCACAGAGTCACCTGGGTACTCATCTCCATGACACCCCATTCTCTTCTTATTTACTATCAAAACCCCTTCGCCAACCGCCTCGCTAAGACAAAGATCAACTGATAGGGTGAATATCAAAACACTTCCTGTCCCGTCGTGGTGTCCTCAAAAATTCGTTCACCGACTCACTTGTGTTCCCCCAGTCACTCATCGCCAGAGTCTCACATTCGCTGTGAAAATCGCTCGAGTCGCTGCCTGGTTCACGCTTTCTGGTCATTGTCCACATGTGTTTGTGAGCGTGTCATCATCTGGCGTCAGGACAGTACCTGTCCATTGGTTACTGTCATCACTTATATTCTGTCCATAGCCACACAAGCCTCTGTTAGACTATATGTGAGTAACAGCACCGAGCCCATTAGCATAATGGTTTGCCTGCCAGCTTAAAGATAAGAGTTTGAATCCACATCAAGTTTTGGATTTAAGAAAAATAAATGACCTTGGTTTCCAAATCAGCTAAGCCTAAAATGGGTACCACGGAAATGTCCTGGGCAGTCAGAGTGGCTGCAGTGGTGTTGACTATGTCACTTGTCCAGAGCCAGTTGGTCTATAAAAACATTATTCTAGCATCATTCGATCTCAGCTGCAGCTGTTTTTGCAGGAGAGACCACCTTGATTGGTTTTAACAGTGCTTTTGAGAGCTGACCGTTCATAGGCAATAGCAAACTGAATGTAAAATTGTAAACAGCCAGTAAGCCACATAAATGCTGGGCTTAGTTCGGCAGTGCTTTTGCCATGTGACAGTTCTGGCATCAGACACAGCAACACAGAAAGCTCAGTGTTGAACAGATACTGCAGTAAAGCAGTAACAGAGCCAGAGGTTGACCATGCAGAAGATGGACCGCAGAAATATCAGAGAGGCAAAAATTTTACTATAAACAAAGTGAACAGAAGGGCCTGTTCCAGAGATGCCTTCCTCCGCTAACGCTATGAGGCATTCCAGGAGTAAAGAAAAAGAAGTAGGTTCTGCAGTGTCCTGTAAAGGATACACAACTAACTAACATCATATGCCTAGTGTGCTACTGACCTAAAAAGAGTCTTTTTTTTTTTTGTAAACATGCCAGGTTGTATTTGTCAGTGCTGCTCATGTATTCTCTGGCCATCTTCATCTCCTACAACATCCAGTTCTATGTTCCTGTCGCCATCATGTGGCCCAAGATTAAACGCCGCTTGAAAAATAAAACGCTGCGGAAATACGGAGAGTATCCCTTCCGCATACTCCTGGTGCTGGTAACACGTAAGTACGAGGGATAATTGTGTTTTTGTGTTTTTCAGTGTTTTTTTTAAAATAAAACGTAACCCCGAAAATCAACCCTACAATGATTTTTTAGAATGTTTGTAATAGAACCCCTATTCCAAATAAGCGCCCTTGTTGAGATAATATGTCAAACTGATGTTTTATTTATCATTTGCAATATACAAAGGACAGACTACAGGGTATTATAGTAAAGAAATGAATGTTAAAAGCCACTCACAGAATGGGGGGAAGGGGAGGGGGGGTCAGGAGACTAACTGTCCCCCCCCCCCTTTTTTTTTTGAGAATGAAGGAAGAAACGATTGCCTGAAGAATATAATCTACAATAACATACAAATGCAATAGTCTACAACAGGGCTTTTCAACTTGCAGCCCACTGGTACCATTCTCTGTGTTTGCAAATATTCTTACAGTTACGGGTAAATATATTTTTAGAACTGTGTCGCCCCAGGAAGGCTAAATCTAGTCACTTCCTGTTGTGGCTCAGTAAGTGGCCCACAGATCATTGCCTGTTGTACTGATGATCTTTCTGCACTGGGGCGCAGACCTCTGGCCAGCAACATTTTCCACATTTGGGACCCTAGCAAACTTTGTTGAATAGCTTTGGCCTACAATATACTTGTATACATGCCATAATCTTTAACAGTCTTGTACGCACAGTAATCCACAATACAAATTTTTCAAGCTATATTCTTTAACAACGCAATACTCTGCAATAACCTTTTACACATGCAATAATCTACAGTGACTTTGTAACTATACAGTAAGCTAAAATAACTGTACACAAGCAGTAATCTACAGTACACACACAGTAATCTACAGTAGCCTTGTACACATTCAGTAATCTACAGTAATCTAGTGCACATGCAGTAATCTAAAATAACCATATATACACACATTAATTTTGTACCCATACAATAATCTACAGTAACTTGGTACACACACAACAGTCTACATTAGCTGTGTACACATTCAACAATCTAAGGTACCTTTTTACACATGCAGTTATCTACCATATACAGATCTTTTTTAAATGAACATAATCTTTTTCTTTTTATTTGCAGTTGGATTCTCGCTGGCTGTTCCACATTTAGATCTGCTTATCTCCCTTATTGGTGCCTTTGCCAGCTCCTCCCTAGGCCTTATTTTACCGGTCGTCATCGAAGTCATCACACTTTCTGCGGAGGATGAGAAACTGCCAAAGTACCTCATCCTGAAAAATGTTCTAATTTTCCTGTTTGGTCTTACAGGTTGTGCTATAGGTACATACACATCCTTGAGGTCTATAGTTGAGGCATTTTAGAATATGTTAGAGAGGTCACTTTCTTTTCTTAGCATTCATTGGCAGTAAACTCTGGTAGAAAGTCCTGGTTGTTCACCCACTTATGTCTCTGTGTCGGTTCTGAGGGGAAAGTTATGGTTGTTCATCCACTTATGTCTCTGTGTGGGTTCTAGGGAAAAGTTCTGGTTGTTCATCCACTTATGTCTCTGTGTGGGTTGTGGGGCTCCATTGTGGGGGAAAAATAAATAGACCCACAACCCCCCCCCCCCCCCCAATCCAGAAATAAGCTTGTCATAAAAGTCAGCTATTTAGGGGTGTTTCCTTCCAGGCTGAAGTGTGTCTGCTGGAGAGACAAGGAACCTAATCTATTTACATTTGAGCCAGATCTGTAAAATAGATGTGTACGCAAACTCAAGTTCTGGAGTAAGACTTGAGTCCAGATACCAGAAGTGGAAGAACAACCAGAACTTTCTGTTGGAGTTTTCAGCTGGTGAAAGGAAAAAAACAACGCTTTGTCTTATTCCAGATCTTGAGTTTTGCGTATAAATTCGTTTTACATATCTGGTTTATTTATATGCAGACTGTAGGTTCTATCAGGCAAATGCATTCCGGCTTTGAAGGGAACAGCACAATTAGTTGACTTGTACGACATGGTTGTTAAGGAGCAGGGGGTGTATTCTTTTTGTCTCCCAAAATGGAAGCCACATGAGAATTGAAGGGTAGTAAATTGCTGGGGAACCATTGAGGTCATTGAAACAACTTGTCAGACTAGTTACCTTAAATTAATTCACATATGGCTGAGAGTTTCTGCTGTCAAGGTCACGGATATTTCTTTGAGTGTCCTCTGCTTACAGGAACTTTGTGAATTCTTGTTTTTAACTCTATCATTCTTTGTTTGTTTCATACTCTTTTGAAGGATTTCTAGCTGCAGTGTTTAATTGTCATTCATGACTGACAGTGTGAAGCTGGCTAGTTCTGTTTCTTGTTGAGATTGATTACATTGGCTGGACACCCTAGGACATGCTTGGGTGAAAGGAGATGAAAGAGATGATATACTCATCTTGTGTGTAGTAGTAGTAAACTGAATGTCAGCAATGATGAGCCACCTGGTGGAAATGGTGTTCAATGAGGAAGAGCATTCAGAGATCAGTTGCAAGTTACCCAAAAACAACAACATGTCAATCAACTCTTACTGGATATGGTGAGCATGGTGACACTGAAATAGCTGCTGCATGGGTGGACAGAGGATGTAGGGGTCATACTTATTTTCTAGATTGTCGATATGGATAACAAGTAACAAGTAATTTGGATTGTCATTGAATTGATTAGCACTCATGGATGTATAGGATTGATGTGCAACTCAGAGAACACACAAGCAAAATCAAAATCAAAAGCTGTAATTATCACACCTGCAATGGGCATTTTTGTTGTTTAAAAGAGATAGATTAGATATCCATTATTGAGTTAACACTTTCGGCTGCTATGTTGTCTAGTGTGTCTATATAAGAGACTTGTTGAAGGAAAGCAAGCAGTGGGTTCGCAGCGATGCAAGTGGAAGAATATCTTAAGTATATAGTCAAATAGTGGGCTTTTACAATGTACCACCAGGATGAGAGACAGAGCTGAAATAGGGGGACGGGTGAGTTCGAGGGGTTAAGCCTCTTTCAAGTATGCAGTAATAGTTTTAATAATTATCATGGTTTGTTTCTAACATGGTACGCACTACAGGCACCCTTGTTTAGGCCTTGAGCTTGATACTACTGTTGGTGGGGACTGAGTCCTCCTGTAAAATGTTTTTTGTTTGTTTTTAAAAATGGAGTGGGGGGGGGGGGAAGGGGCATACCAAATGCCTAAACTGCCAGGTTTCCACAGCCTTGTTTGGCACTGATAAAAGATCTGTCTTTGAGACCTTCAACCTTTCTTAGTTCCATTTTATATTTATTTCTTATGGTCTATGCTTCTTATTGTTACCATCTCCACTATAGCCTCTGGCAGCAACTTTTGTTTATCCAATATTGCTAAACTGTCTTCCATATACTACTGTGATATGTTTAACGGTGCGTAAATTGTAAAAACTTATGTATGCCTATGTATACACATTTGTTGCTTCAGATGTTTATATCTTCAACCAGCAACTGTTTTGTTTGTGTTTCATGTAACATTTTAAATTGTTTAGAAAAATTTTTGCATTGATGTTATCAACATTGTTATCTTTCATCATCGATTAGTTCTTTACAGAATGTCTTTCTTGTCACAGCACGCCTTAGACTATCTGTCTCTTGTCAGCTCTTTACAGAATGTCACTCATGTCACAGCACACCTTAGACTATCTCTGTCTCTTGTCAGCTCTTTACAGAATGTCACTCTTGTAACAGCACACCTTAGACTATTTGTCTCTTGTCAGTTCTTTACAGAATATCTCTCTTGTCACAGCACACCTTAGACTATCTCTGTCTCTTGTCAGCTCTTTACAGAATGTCTCTCTTGTCACAGCACACCTTAGACTATCTGTCTCTTGTCAGTTCTTTACAGAATGTCACTCTTGTCACAGCACACCTTAGACTATCTGTCTCTTGTCAATTCTTTACAGAATGTCTCTCTTGTCACAGCACACCTTAGACTGTCTCTTGTCAGTTCTTTACAGAATGTCTCTCTTGTCACAGCACACCTTAGACTGTCTGTCTCTTGTCAGTTCTTTACAGAATGTCTCTCTTGTCAGTTCTTTACAGAATGTCACTCATGTCACAGCACACCTTAGACTATTCTTCTCTTGTCAGTTCTTTACAGAATGTCTCTTGTCACAGCACACCTTAGACTATCTGTCTCTTGTCAGTTCTTTACAGAATGTCTCTCTTGTCACAGCACACCTTAGACTATCTGTCTCTTGTCAGTTCTTTACAGAATGTCTCTCTTGTCACAGCACACCTTAGACTGTCTCTTGTCAGTTCTCCAGCTGTGTGTGTGTTTATTACCAATGCATCTTGAATCTCTTGTATCTACCTTCACAGACTTTGTGCTGTTTAATGTCTGCATTGCTAAAGCAAGTCTTCTTCTGATTTTTTTGTGTGCAGATTTGTTCCTAGATAATAAAAATCTGTAACATTTTTTATTTTCATTATTACTGATGTTAGTGTATGGCTGGTATGCTGTATTTACTGACTGACTGACTGACTTTCTACCCCACCAGGACATCACACAAGCGATAAACACCCGATGACACAAAGTGCCACCATGTGGATGAGGATCGCCGTGGAGAGGTCCCAGAAACCGCGTTCAGACATTTGGCCATATTTATGGCCTGCCTTTATTGCGGCCCCTGGCAAAAGCCAGAGTAGGGCTTCAAATGACAAAAAATTTCGTCCTGAAAAGGACGAAACTGGATTATAAATGGTCATTCTGTTTTAAAGCTAGAAATTTTTTTTTATTTCTTCACTATGCTTTTTGTTGGTTATAATTAATTCTTCTAAGCCTTGTACACTGTTAACAAAGGAAAACTGTGTCATCTGCATATCTTTCTGGATTAGGTTTGCCTGAGTGGTATGAAGTTGTCACAGGCAGGACTATGACTCTAACAATCTACATCCCAAAAAAGCCAGATCTGTAAAACAGATATGCATACAACACAGAGGTCCTAGAACAACACTAGGAACAACACTTCTTCACAGAAGAAGAAAAAAGAAGAAGAAGATATCCACATGTTTGTTTGTCTGAATTTTTTTCTTTAGTGATTTTAAAATGACTCCATGACTCTGAAACTTTGCCACAGAAAAGATAAGTGATCTCAAAAAAGTTTCATGACTCTGAAACTTTGCCACAGAAAAGATAAGTGATTTCAAAAAATTTTCATGACTCTGAAACTTTGCCACAGAAAAGATAAGTGATCTGAAAATAGTTCCCTGACTCTGAAACTTTTCCACAGGCCACAGGAAAGATAAATAATCTCAGAATGTGTACTTTTAAAGGGATCCTAAATGAGCCATTTTAAGGATTTGTAGTGGCTTTTTTTTTTTTAAAGGTTTTTAGGTATGCACGATATATCATTTACTGTACGCCAGAAATTCCAACCATTTCATAATGTTTTTTTAAAATTATTACATTTTGTCTCATAATTATAAGAAAATCTGGCTTCACCATTGATCACTTCCCTTGTTTATTTTGCTTTTTAAAATCACTAATGATTGTTCATAGCTACCATTTTGTTGCTTGCGAATCTCAAAAAAATATTTTTGGTAACAACAAATTTAACCATTTTGCTCCAGTGAGGGAACCAAGCCAAGCCTTTCTTTTAAATTTTGTTATAGTCCAGAAAAAGCATCTTTAAACTATTATACACATGTGACAAAAAAAAAATGTGCACAAAATTAATCTATCACTCAAAACACAAAAAATGCTGTAGAGAGTAAGTGGACCGTCAGTATAAATATGTAAAGGAGCCTTTTCTACACCTTTCAGGCGTATTGGGTATATAGGGCTAGACCTTTATTTTATAGACCACACAGCACTTGGTGGGGGATGTGGTCAGCATCACATTGGCCACCTTTACTTTCCAGGACTGTCCTGGTACCCACTCAAGGCTAGGTTGACCTAGAAGCCAAGGTCATTTAAAAAAAAAAAAAAGTTTGGCTTCCGTCAGAAACCGAACCTATGACTTTCCAATCCACAGGTGAGTGTCTAACCGCTAGACCAGGACGGCTCCCTCACTATAAATGACTTCAGCATATAATCGGTTGGCTTACATCTCTTAGGGAGTAAACTAATTATAGCATAAACTTACTTGACCCAGTAACCACAGTAACTAGTGTATCAAGTATAGTGTAGACATTTGTATCAATAAAGCTATTTTAAAAATACTTAACCTCACTAAATTTTGTTTTTAGTACATGTAATCATCCCCTGTACACTGAACTTTTGTGCAGGTACATATACAGTAAATTCTGTTTGCTATACGTCTCGTAAATATGTCTCTGTAGTGAGTGGGGAAAACAGCTATCATGGAAATGTCAGTAATGTTGTGGCTTCTTGGAGTGAAATGGTTCAGCTGTAGTGGACATTTATTTTCCTTATCCTATCTGAATGAATAGATTCTTGTGTTGCTTGAAAATCTCTTGACAAAATTATAACCCAAAAAAAACAAACTATTCAGGATCCTTTCCATGAAAGTGGCGTACCAGGTTTATGTTGTGAGACTCATATTTTGTAGACCCGTCGGGACTTAATAGAGGATGTAATCAGCATCGTGCCAGCCACCTTTACTTCCCAGAACTTTACTTGGTACCCATTTTAGGCTGCTTTGACCTGGAAGCCAAAGTCGTGTTTCACAAATCTGATTTGAACCTAAAACATCTGAGAGTCAAGCCTCTTGCCACTCACCACCACAGCACCCAAACCTGTTTGTACCAGAAAGTTTTACTTGACATTCCCTTATCCTTGTTGAATTTACAGATTCTGTGAATTGTGGATATTTTCATGTCTCCACTACCTTTTTGTCTGTCTGTGTTTTAATAATTGAGGAGTAGCTAGTCAAACGGTTAAGAACACGGGATTTTCATGTGGGAGAGCCACGTTTGAATCCTTGATCAGGTTGTGGATTTTAGTCTGACAATGGCAAAAATACAATCCTAACCTGCACAGTGCATGGTGACAGAACTATCCACGCAGCCCTAAATCCTCAGGCTCACAATCCCCTCTTGCCTACATCTCAAAGTGGTCAATGCAGACAGAGTTATGGCAGTTTTTTTTTTTTAATTTGTGTATGATGTGCATTGATATGTGCATATATGGCTTTAGTAATTGTAGCTTTAAAAAAAAAAAAAAAAACTTGTTACATTTAATAATTGTATTTTCAGCATGGCAGTATTTTAATGCTGCTATAATTTTGCCTTTCTATGACCATTGTAAATTGTATGTATGCTTACTACATTTATCTACACTTTTATGCTACCTTCCAGAATTTTGTTTGTTTAAATGTTTTTTTTTTTAAAATTCAATACTGCTGTGTGCAGAATACAAGGAATTAAATGGAATGATTACCCTTTGCTGTCCTTGACATCTGCTCTGTGGTTTTGGTTGTGCTGCAGCACCAAGAGTGCATCTGCCTGATAAATTGGAGAACAAACAGTCTGCATACAAATAAGCCAGATTTGTCAAATGGATATGCATATAAAACTCCAGCTCTGGAACAAAACCGACGTTGCAAAGTGGACGAACAACCAGAAGATTCCGCCAGAGTTTACAGCCGGTGAACGTGAAGAAGAAGAAGAAGAATGGGAGTAGGCAATGAGGCAGACCAACAAGACGATGGAGAGATGATGTACATGCAGACCAACAAACACTTGAAGTCACCTGGAAGGAAAAGGCCAATCAGTACTTCCAAACCCCATCATACCTTCGCTACTTCCAAACCCCATGTTACATTTCGTACTTCCAAACCCCATGTTACATTTAGTACTTCCAAACCCCATGTTACATTTAGTATCTCCAAACCCCCTCTTAGATTCAGTACTTCCAAACCCCATCTTAGATTCAGTACTTCCAGTCCCCATGTTACATTAGGTACTTCCAAACCCCATGTTACATTTGGTTCTTCCAAACCCCATCTTACCTTTGGTACTTCTAAACCCCACATTACATTTGGGACTTCCAAACCCCATGTTACATTTGGGACTTCCAAACCCCATCTTACCTTCGTACTTTTAAACCCCATGTTACATTTAGTACTTCCAAACCCCATCTTACCTTCAGTACTTTAAAACCCCATGTTACATTTGGTACTTCCAAACCCCATCTTACCTTCGGTACTTCTAAACCCCATGTTACATTTAGTACACCCCATCTTACCTTTGGCACTTCTAAACCCCTATGTTACATTTAGTACTTCCAAACTCCATGTTACTTCCAAACCCTATCTTACCTTTGCTACTTCCAAACCCCATGTTACATTTGGCCCATCCAAACACTCATCTATCACAAATCAATATTTTTATTTTTTATCTAGAAAGTATGTTCGTATAATAGAATAAATAATATGAGTAAAAAGTAAAACAATAAAACATAAATGGCATATCACATATGCATTCACATATACACATGCACGCACACATATACACATACATCCTCACACACATTCACATATACACATGCACGCATACCTACTCACACATTATCACATATATGCGTACATACTCACACACATTCATACTTATACACATTGTCTGATTTAGACACAAGGTAACTGCAGCTTAGGGCTGCACAATCTACAGGGGCCTAAACACTTGATATTTAATTGTTCACAAATGCAGCTTTCCTGTAATAGAACCTTTAAGACTATTATATAATGCAATTTCTATGATTCTGAAGACACAATCTTTGTTATTTCGTTTACTAAACATTAAACAACAGTATATTCCTATCATCCAGTTATTCAAAAAGCGTATATATTTTAAAGTTTTCTGACATTAGCTAGTGTAATTTAAACCAGTAGAGGCCTCATAGCGTCCACCTCGAGTGCTAGAGGTCCCAGGTTCAGGCGAAAATTTTTCACGTTGACTTCTAGTAATTTTCCCTGGTCTCTGGGTAGTGAGATCGGACGCTCGTGTGTATTGTGGCGCACGTAATAAAAAATCCTATGACAGTTGGGAATCGAAAAGAGTAGCCTAACGGAGCTGCCAGGGCAACATTTGGAGTTAAAGATCTACCCAAAGTATTTCAGGATCCCGGCCGGTACTACGGAGTTCGTGCACTGTACTGAGATTCATGGGACTCGGGCTTAATTTAGAAGTAGAACGGAGCACTTATGGGTTAACCCTTGTGCCATAATGTTGATCCATTGTCTAAACCTAGAAATTCATATAGGCATGAATATATACACTGTTGCACACAAAAGCACACATGCATACACATACTCAGACTTGCACACCCATGCATCACATACACACACTCATAGACAGTCATTTACACATACATGTGTACACGTGCACATACACACTAAATCCTACACACTCAAACAACACACACACACAACATATATACATACATACATACATACATACATACTCAGTCATACACAAACGCGCGCGCGTGCATACACAAGATGTGGGTACCCACAACGAAATGTCAAATAAAAGGTTCCAGCATGCACCACAGTTTTTTTTACAGTAGTGTTGAAAAAAAGCTTTAAAGGGGTGCCAGTACTGCATACCATCCACACACAGACACACGCACGCACACACACTCACACCAAAACACACACACAAGCCATGTGCGTATCACATATGCAGGAGATGAATTGTGTTGGGTGTTATCTGAAGCAATGAACCTCAATGGCTTGAATGCTATAGAAGACAGAACGAAAGAAGACGAAGTAGAAGATTTGAAAAAGCCAAAGGACTGGATGGCATCCAAGATGGATTGGACAGGACACAATGGAGTAAAAGAATAGACAACGTATAAGCAGCACAGCATAACAACGACCACGACCATCCAGACTAGACTAGAGCTGAGTTTGTTATCATTTTATGGTGCCCCAATTTTTGGTTGACATATTTCTAATTTTCCCGCCGATGTTATATTGCGCTAAAGGGCGGCATGGGAATCACAGATATGGCGATGCCCAGTGTGACAAGCAAGTCCTCAATAATTATAGCATGGGATTTCAGGATTGCTGTTACCATCGTATGAACCTAGTTTAGCTTTCAGCGTTTATTTCTGCAATGATTTCTCCAGCCCCTCCCCCTTCCGTTATCTCCATTCCCTTCCTGATTTGCCTCCTGCAAGCAACACTGTCCATGACATTTTGTTCCCAAAAATATACCTCAAAATCTGTATCATTTGTGTCCCGCTTGTACACATCTTTATATCGTAACAGAGGCCAACCTCGACATCTTCTACCTGTCTGTAATTCACGATATGTCCTTAGGGACTACTTCCTTCATTCAGTATTGATCAAACTGTTATGACATCTGCTCTTTCCAGTACCTCGGTGTTTGTGATCTTGCTTTGCCACCAAAAGCCAAGTATTCTTCTAAGACATCGCATGTGAAAGCCCCAAAATAAGTTGTCCTGATGGCTGTACGATTGAATGGGGTTTTATGAATTTCTACCGGTTTGATTCTCATCCTTGAGATGTTAATCCTACAGACAGCAACAACAACAACAAAAATTATTGGAAAAAAAATGATGGCAACGATGAGGACGAACATCATCATGAGGAAGATGAAGAGAATGCCGTGACAATATCCCTAATGGAAGTATAAGATCCAATGGCGCAGCCAAAGAGCCCGAAGAGAAATATCAGAACATTTTTGACGAGGATGTACTTTGGAAGACCTTCTTCGTCTCCAGCCAGGGTCAAGAGCTCCAGGATGGCGGGCAGCAGCAGGGTCAGCGAGGATCCAGCGAAGGCTCCGATGAATGAGATGAGGAGGTCCAGATGAGGGATGGCTACACCGAGGCCAACTGTGGAAGAGAAGGGGTGTGATTATTTCAGGAGTGTTTTCTTTCTTTCTCTTAATTTTGTTTTTGTGTGTGTGTGAATTGTTTATGCGCTAGTAAATTTTCAAACACTACAGATTAACTTAGGCACCGTCCTAATCAGTTTACTCTGCCTTTTGCCACTTGTTTTGGTTTTGTTTCGGCACTTTTCCGTCTTTCCATACGATTGTTTCGTTCTGTGCTTTAAAGAGGCAGAAAAAAATCAAAGCCTATGGCGACAGCGAGTGTGAGTAACGAGACCGGCTGGCAGTCAGAACATTGCTGCACAATTAGAGGATGGAATTCTCAGGACGGTTGTTTCCATCGCATTTGTTCTTGTTTCTTGCACGTATTTCTTGTTATGAACTTAGATCCTAATATGTATTTAAATACTTTCTTCATTATCGCTGCCTTCTGGTTGATTTTTCCACCCGATACCAACACGTCTGTGGCTCACTGTCCCCACAACTCTGCTTCAATATCTGTACCATTCTTGTCCCGTTACGGTAGAAGACTACCTCATTGTGGACAGATCAGAACAACTCACCAAGCGCCTCAGAACGGGCAACAAACAATAAGATATTTAAAATAGGTACCTCTGCCATGTTTGCATGTGGATCGTCGCGCCAGGCTGCCCGAATATGCCACATTAAGGCAAACTTGTAAAAAAAATTAAAAAAAAAAACAGCAGTGGAAAGTAAACTCTAACGACCACTAAATCAACTGAAAACAACAGTAATGCTTTTACGACAGACACAGTTATTGATATAGAAAACAGTTCAAGCACAGGAAAATAGACTAAAGCGCAGGCCTCACTTGCACACATCTTTACATAGCAGCAGAAGTCGGTTTGGCCTAGTCTACTTATCTTAATTTCGCAATAAAGATGTCTTTAGGGACTTCCTAGCCTTCATCCTTTAAGTGTACCCTATCCATCGAACATTCAGAAGACTAGGACTGTTGTAGTTAAAATTATCTAGGACTACATACGGAGCCATTAGCACCTGGTGACCCAAAGTCACCATTCGGATGAGAATGACCCGGGTTAGTTAGTCTTTCCTCTTGTGTCGAGTGCGGCACATAGGGCAGAGGTCATGACTCTCCATGCATGGCGGTTCGTTGCAATCTGTTGTAGGTCTTGGATGTTTGAGTGGCCCATGAGTGAGCCTTCCCTGATGATAGTTCTTCGTAGGGTTTCCCTTGGTCTTCCACGAGATCTTTTCCCCTGTGGTGTCCAAATGAGGGCTTGGTAAGGAAGTCTTGATTTATCCATTCTAAGGGCGTGGCCTACATAGTTCCAGCGGCGTTTTCGTATAAAATTAGACACATACTCTTGCCTGGATTCTTGCCTTATTTGTGTATTGGTTCGGAAATCTGACCATTTGAAATTTAGTATTCTTCTAAGGCATTTATTTTCAAAACTGTCTAATTTTGTGTCTAGAGTTTTCGTTGATTTCCAGCTCTCGCATCCATAGGTTAGTACTGGAATCACACAAGAATTGAAGATCTTGAGTTTTGTGTGTTTGCTAAGTGTCTTTGATTTCCAGATGTTGGACAGTTTATTGAAGGCACTAGATGCCAGTGCTATTCTAAATGGTATTTCTGGTGCCGTATCTCCTGTAGATGACATCTTGCTCCCTAGATAAGTGAAACTGTTGACTTTTTCAAGGCTGTTGTTGTTCAGCGTGATATCAACTGAACTGTTGGTAAGGTCTAGAATTTTTGTTTTTGTGGTGTTAATTTGGAGTCCAATTTGTTCTGAGAAATTCTGGAGTCGATTGATTTTTTCTTGGGCGTCTGTGTGTTCTGAACTCAGGAGTGCTATGTCGTCGGCGAAGTCTAGGTCTTCCAGAATTTTGTCAACCCATGTAATGCCTAAATTTGCGTTATTTATGCACTTGCGCATGACCCAGTCGATTGCTATACCAAAAAGCATCGGCGATAGGACACAGCCTTGCTTCACTCCTGTTTCCACCGGGAATTGCCAGAATCAGCTCTTACACAGCATCGTGTTTCATTATAAAAAGATTTTATGATGTTGATATATTTGATGGGGAAACCGTGTACTTATCTCATAAACCCCGTTTAATCGTAAGCTTAAATTGGGGCCCCCCGACGGTTTACAAAAGTAATCTGAAGTACCTTCGGGTTGGAGCTCATTGAATGTTGGCTAGGACTGTGTCCCCACTTGCTCTTACGGTTCATGCCGTGTGGCAAAAAAGAACTGATTGCCTACATTAGAAGAGACAATCTACATTTTTTAGTAAAGTCCTGAGCAGGATAAAATGGGCGAATCAGCCATGTGTACATGTGGATTAGCACATGAGACAGCAGATCACGTCCTACAATTCTGTCCCAAACACAACATACCAAGGCAAAACTTTTTGCCGGATGAGGTATCAGTGCAAGCCGAACTTCACGGGTCGCTGATTGAGTTACACCAGAAAGTGAAGTTCATACTAGAGACAACATTGCAGATTTAGATAATCTATTTGAAGCGAGCGAAAGAAGTAAAGGAAGAACAAAATTGGAGTACATCGTAAAGGCGGATATGTTGTAGGAAAAAGAAGCAGATGGAGACAGAGAGAAAAGATGTTGCGCAGTATGACGTCATTCTATGGGTGATCATCTGTGTCAGAAATGACTGAAAGTACACGACGCCGTTGGCTGTGAATATACATGACTACCAACGCCACACGGCATGGACTAAAGAAGAAGAAGAAGAAGAAAAAAAGATACTTACATGTCACCAACACCATGATGATACGAAAGAAATATTCTCCGTAAGTTTTCAAAAATGGCGTCCTCATGCAATGTTGTATCCTCGGCCAAACGATGATTATTGGAATGTAGAACTGGATGTTGTAGGAAATGAAGATGGCGGCGGCGTACATGAGTCTCACTGATAAGTACAGCCTGCAGTGACAAGACCAGCGGGTATTAGGAATAACTGTATTTAACAACACACACCGACCCAGATACACACCCACCCACACACTGACACACCCACACACAGCCACAGACAGACACACCCACACACAGCCACACACAGACACACCCACACACAGACACGCACACTGACACACACACACCACAGATACCCAAACGCACACACACGCACAAACACACTCACACCCACACACTCTAACACACACACATACCACACACACACACACCACATACAGAGACACGCACGCAAATCATTGACTAGGGCTATTGTTACACTATTCCGGACCAGGGGCGTCGACACAAAGAAAACGGGATTGGGGGTGAGCATGCCACAGTTTTCTGACATATCTTGTAGGCGAGGGAGAGGGACATCTTGTTCGGTACGTAATTATATATATATATATATACACACATGTGTGTGTGTGTGTGTGTGTGTGTGTGTGTGTGTGTAAAATGAGCTGTATGGATTGTCAACATAATAACGTGTCTGAAATAATATGACATTTTAAAACATACATTTAAAAATACAACTTCTATACATGTTTGTGGTGGGGTGGGGGGGGGGGGGTAGTTAGTCGATTCAAAAGTTTATTTTTGTTGTTGTTGTGGTGGTGGGAAAAAAGTGGGGGGGGGGGGGAGAAGCGCTAAATGGGCCTGTGCTCCCAGTTTTCGGCATCCATGCTTTGTTCAGATTCATGGGTGCTCTTTTAACCTCTTTTTCTTCGCGTTCCCCAGGTGTAAAATCTGACAGAAAGTTCTGGCTGTTCGTCCACCTCTGGACTTTAGTCTTGTTCCAGAATCTAAGAGTTGCGTGCACATCCGTTTTACAGGTCTGACATATTTGTATACAGATCGCTGTTTCCTTGCCTCCCAGGCAGATACATTTGGACTTTGAAGGAGCCTCGCGATTTATTCATAGTGGCGCGCCTGCCTAACTTCGACTTTTCCGGTTTCTGCAGCGGGAGAACGAAATCGGGAACAAAATAGTTCAACAATTTGTCTAAGAATAAACGCGCTGGTTGCCTGACAGAAAAATAACATGTTATAACCACCCAAGGACCTCATCAGAACGTGTCAAAACATGCAAACTCAACCTTATCGCGAGTAGACATTTTCTGTGAGCTGTAGTCGCCTCCCCGCTGCCTTCAAATTCTTTATATTCTTCTTTCTTATTTGTCTTCTTCTGTCTTTTATCCCCCGAATGGAGCATAGGCCCTCAACCAACTCACTCAGAGTACTAGTCTTTGCTATTTCATCCTGCCTATGTTTTTAACTTCAATACCTGTTTCCCTCCTCCGCGTGTTTGTGGTATGCCTTTATTTCTATGCAAATGTGAGTTTCACAAGAAAAAACATTTTAGTTACCGGGTATTTTGAACTCAGGTTTTCCCATCCTGTGTCTTGTCCAACAGCAGCGTCTTTTCTTGACCTTTTTTTTTTTTGTTGTTGTTGTTGTTTTTCAAAACAATGTTTTCCCGTAATGAATTTAAATAATGTGGATACGAACAATACATTTCACAATTTATTGCCAGGCATATTTCGCTGTATCTCATCAGGTGCGTTTTGTTTTTGTTTCTCGTATATAAACTTCACTTTCGTTTTTTAGTTTATTTACTGATCCGCATTTTAACGTTTGTTCTGGTTTGACCTAAAGTGGCTTACAAGTAATGGGTTTAAATATTCTTCACATTTCTGCTTCATACAGCAGTACTGATTTAACATTAGATTTAACAATTCTATGCCATCTTCCATGATCGTACTTCCTAGTTATTTAAATTCCCTGGCTTGTTTCAGAACAGAACTATACAGCAGTACTGATTTAACATTAGATTTAACAATTCTATGCCATCTTCCATAATTGTACTTCCTAGATATTGAAACTCCTTGACTTGTTTCAGACCAGAACCATACAGTAGTATGTTTAGTGGGCCTCAATTTATGTGACTTTGACATATTAACGAGTCCTAGGAAAACTCCCACCTTTTGCATTCGTATTTAAATTTCTGGTACTAAAAAGTAAAATAAATAAATAAATTAAAAAAATAACAATAGCGATAGTAGACAACCCTGACGCACACCAGAGTTTACTATAAAAGTTCTTGAAAATCCTGCCTTCGAACTTATACAGCATTTACTACGCGTGTGTAGGCTATTGCAAATATTAGTGAGATGATTGCTGATTCCCTTTTTTCCCATTCGTTCTCACAACATATTCCTGTGGACTCTACCAAAGATTTTTTTCCTGATCTGTGAATGTTGACAAACAGGTTTTATCGTGTTCTATTTGCTCTCTCCGACATTAGGGTTAGTTGCGTATCCTTTACAAAACGTTGTAGAACCAACCCCAACAGCCCCTGGCTGTTGTGTGGTTTTTCTAGGCAAATTTACTTTCAGTAGTTTGTCATTGCTTGCTGGACAGTCGACCCTCTGATACCACTGTCGAAACCAACGCAAGGCGCATGGCCCGCAGCTGGGATCGGACCCGGCATCCCGGCATTACGAAGCGCTCGCATCGACTTAGCCAGAGAGCCGACTTACTAGGAGAAAAACCCAAAGGACACTAACTCCACGCGTAGGTCGACCTGGGAGGCAAGGTTAATGATACCAAATTCTCTTCGATGCGGCTTCGAACCCAAGACCTGCGCAGTGGCATTCTAGCTCTAGATGTTACACGAGTTCCTTTTGTTAATTATAGATTATATAGTTTTGAAACTAAAGGACTGGTTCATTTCAAACGTCTCAAATTGCTTTGAAAGAACACTGTTGGAGGGCATGGTACCGGTCAGAGAGGCAGGGGTCGACCAGGACAAAGGTGGACATAGGACATAAGAGTCACCCTAGGCAGGAAAGTGCATGATGCTAAAGAGTTGGCAAGGGACCGAGTTTCTTTCAGGCATGCTGTGATGTAGCGCATCACCCTCCATGCTGTATCTCTGGTACACCCACGTATAACACGCATAGCCTCGTTCTGTATCCTATCCATTCTCTTCATTTGCTTTTGGCTGAGAGAAAAGTGGCCTACATCACTTGATAAGACTCAGACCAGGAGCATACCACGGATTTTCTGTCCAGGACATTCGGGTGTGCGGAGTAACGAGCCGGCTAACAGACTGACTGCTGCCTTTACTCTGGGCAATGAGCTACTTTGTGATAAAGCGGGTATGACGAGAGCTCACTCGGAGCAAATAGACAGGACCGTAGAACAGACAGAGAATGCACACGCAGACAATACACCAGGTAGCAACTACAAGTTCAGTAACCAGGAGTCGCCATTGATTGAAGTAGTCAGTCACGACAGGTTGACAACACACACACACACACACACACACACACACACACACACACACACACACACCCCACCCACCCACCTACCCACCCACCCACCCACACACACACACACACCCACACACCCACACACCCACACACCCACCCACCCACCCACCCACCCACCCACCCACACACACACCACACCACCCACCCACCCACCCACACACACACACACACACACACACACACACACACACAGACACACAGACTCACACACACACACACACACACACACACACACATCACACACACACACACACACACACACACACACACACACACACACGAGTATCAAAGCATCAGGTACTTAATCAGACCGAATTGGTAACCATTCGTTTTTCTAAATATCATGATCAGACAGCTACAGGCACATGCGAAAAACATTGTCCGGGAAATACACAGCTCACATTGTAGCACCAAACAATTATCTAAGTAGCTCAGGCAACAAAGCCGTGGACTCCAAACCGTATCTATAAACTGCATTTGCAAACAAAAGCTAGAAGCAAAACACACTTCAAGTCTTTCGTTTTCTGCTTGTCAATACATTATATTGGATAGGAAGAAGAGGAAGACGAAGAAGAAGAAGAAGAAAATGAGGAATCGAAAGAAGATGGGGAAAAGAAGGAGCAAAAAATTAATAATGATAACAATAATATAATATTGGAAAAGAAGATGAAGAATAAGGGGGAGGAAGGAAACAACGATGATGGCGATGAAAAATAACAGCAGGGCAACAGAGGCGGAGAAGGAGTAGAAGTGGTACTGAAATAAAAACCCAATAAAAATGTCTCTCTTACACACACGCACAAATATATACACACATACACGCACCCACCCACCCACACATACACACACAAACGCCAACGCTCCCCCCCCCCCTTTTAAAAAAAAAACACGAAAATACTATTTAAAAAAAACACACACACACACACACGCAAACCACACAGCTCACCACTCATCGTCAGGCAAGCTCAGGGTGACACTGGGATCGACTGCATCCCCAAACTTCAGGTAGCCATAGAAGCCAACTGCGCTGTACAAACAGACGGTACAGATCATCCCCACGTTGAGAACCCCTGTCCAACCCCCAAAGTCTTCAGGGTGTCGCATATTATTCTCTAGAGGTAAAACCTGTGGAAAGAAATCAAGACATGAACAGGCTGATAACTACAGGTCTGCTTGTTTAGTATACATATGAGAAAGGAAGAGAGCAAACTACCCTTTCTTCTTCTGCTGTTGTATCAGGAGGGCGTTAAGGCAGTCTACCTCTGTTTTAACAGTTCTGACCACCAAGGCGAAATTGACATCTCTGTTACTGCCCTAAAATCTTGCACCGGGGATCAATCCCGCAAAACCATGGCGAAATTGACATCTCTGTTACTGCCCTAAAATCTTGCACCGGGGATCAATCCAGTCGTCACTCTTTAGGAAATCTGGTCATTTGTTTATTGTCTCGGCTTATCAGCTTTGAGAGATAAACTTGTAGGATACATCTATGTAATTTTTTTATTTTAAATTATCATTAATACATTTCTCCCTCCTTTTTCTAAGCAGTCTTGTATGTTTCGTTCCATAATAGCTCTTCACATCAGTTGTTCCTGTTACGTTTTTCTGTTCCACGTTGACCATGTCGCTTGTTTAAGATTCGATGCCTCGTTTTCCCCCTTGGGGCTGCTATCTATATGTATACGCAACCAATTAAAGAATCTAAATCTGGATTGCAAAAAAAAAAAAAAAACAAGTTAGATCGCAGATACCATCTTGGGCCTTGAAGGTTGAATTAAGAATCGACATCACAGCACTCGGGACACTTCCATAAGAGCTCCGTCACCACCTTCAGCAGCAAGCAAAGAGTTCCAATTCCGATCTTCAACTTTGAAAGAAGTTCTAATTAGAACAACCGTAACAGCTACATCAATTCAGTTCCGTGGCTCAGAGGTCAGAAAAAGCGGTTACTAAAGTACTATTGTTCGTAGCCGGCCGTGAACGGTAAAAAAAATCGCTCTTATGGATTTCGGACAAATTTCTGAACACGCGATGGAAGAGATTTGAACCTTACAATTCTCAAAGACAACACTGTTACACTGTAGCCTTTCTTCACTGTGGAAACGGCACACAATTTCAATCGTTAAGGGAATAAACATTCGCTGCTGCAGCTCGTTTGTTCTCACAATTGAAGTATGGAGAAGTATGGCCAGGGCTGATATGATCAGTGTCGTATGGAAGTACATTTCCGCAGGGCCTCATTTAGACCTGATGAGGCCCTAAACTATACAAAGCCCTCAGTCCCCTACTTTTTTAATTACAGCTCTGTCCCTTTGTTATCGTTTTTCTTCAACGCCCCCCCCCCCCCACATCTCCAAAAGCCCTTCCTCCCCCCCACCCCACCTCTATGTCCTCGAAGGAAGACATGAAGGCGCTAGAGAGCACTGATACCAGTAGAAATAATAAATGTTCCACGGAGATTAGAATTAAAAATGTATGCCAAAGCGCTGCAATTCTAACTTCAGTCGATATCTTTCTTTCCTGTGTTCTCCGCTTCAGTTCCCAATGTTACTTGATTGCTTTTACTGTGAGTTAGCTAGAGATTTGGCCAACTTCTACTGTTTACGACATGAGGGCTCTGATGACTGCCCTAGATTCTTTCTTGAAGTCACTATCATAGCCATTCTGAAGACAACACTGTTGTTTGCTGTTTGACAATGAGGATGTTGTCTGCCCTGAAGTCAACAACATAACAGTTTTGATGACGATTCTATTGTCCATTGTAGTCAAATTTCTTTAAGTTTCGGCTCTACTCGCTCGCGGCTTTTTTTTGGCCAGTATTTCTTTCACGTAGCCACACACGTGCCATATATTGTACTGACCAGGCAGAGATGATATTTCTATCGGAGATCTGTCAGTTAAGTGATTTCATGAATTTTTCTTGTTCGTATTTGTCGGATTGATGTATGAAAAGCTAGATATTGTGAGGGCCCTTTGGGAGCGAGTGAACTGTGCGGAGGCTCAGATAGATCATTACGGTCTGAGAGAATGGCGCTGCGAGTAATTACCAGCGGATGTGGCCGACGCTCAACACTCAGGGGAAGAACGAGACGGATATACAATCAGACGGCTACCGGTACCATCGGAATTGGAACTCTTCGCTTGCTGCTGAAGATGGGGAGGGAGCACTTATGAGAGTGTCCTGAGTGCTGTAATTCCAATTCTTAATTCAACAATCAACATTCAAACATATGTCGGATTACAGATTCATGTAATGTGCCCATGAGCTCTGTTCAGCCTCATTGTTCACTTGTCGTGTGTGGTTGTGATATTGCGAAGCTGACTGGATCTACTTATGGTTTGGTCCCCTATCTAGTCAATACAATCGTAGTTCTAATTATGGCGCCATAGTCGCCCATGAATGTGTGTTATGACCAGGACCTGTTCTAACTGTTCTAAGCTAAATAAAGCTCCGAGGCCCCTACCATTTTAAATTACACCAGCTAATTTCAGAAAACTGTAACAAATATTCATCGTCAATATCATCAGTTTCCAATTCTGCCGTTAAGCTTTGCGAGTGGGACAGTTTACGATGCATTGCTTGGTGGGTAGCAATAGTTAGTGTCAGTGTGTGTTGGTGTAGAAGCTCTTGAATTTTATCAATTCACATTCTCCTAGGACGGCCTCTTGCTTTCACTTCATATCTCTTCATATGTAGCGCTTGCGTTGGTAGTTGTTCTGGCTGCATTCTTACTAAATCACCAAACCATCTGATCTTCTGTTTCTCAATGAATTTGCTGCATGGTGTTGTTCCTAGTCTGTCTGATAATATCTGTCTCGAATGGTTAAGTTTGCAGCTTTTCTTTGGCAACTCATTTCATAGATGTTGATTATGTGTATATACGCAATATAAGTGTATAGAAAATGGAAATATAATATCGTTTCATTAAAAAAAAAAAAAATTAATTAAAAAGCAAAGAATGTTTTTCCCCTCCAAAATCACAGAAATTCCGTTGTATACATCTCTGACAGGCTCTCAGTTACATTGAAAACACCCCCTCCCCCATTTTTTTTGAAATATGAACTGTTTGAGGTCCCTGCAGTCTGTGAGGCCCTAAGTTGTAACTTAGTAGTAGTTTAGCTTATGTCTAATTAGTCATGACTAATGACAGACATTCATGACAAACATTCATGACAGACATTCATGACAGACATTCAGGACTGAGACCTTCTGTTGGAGATCGCAGGTTGTAGACACACACACACACACACACACACACACACACACACATACATACACATACACACACATACAGGGTCACTGGGAAGGATTGCTTGGTTGTTGAACAGTTATACAATAAAATCTGGATACACACGTGTGACATTTTGAAATATTTCGAAAAGTATTAAGTTGTTTGGCACCTTGTGTGTGACGTTGTGTGTGACGTTGTATGTGACGTTGTGTGTGACGTTGTGTGTGACGTTGTGTATGACGTTGCGTGTGACGTTGCGTGTGACATTGTGTGTGACGTTGCGTGTGACGTTGTGTGTGACATTGTGTGTGACGTTGTGTGTGACGTTGTGTGTGACGTTGTGTGTGACGTTGTGTGTGACGTTGTGTGTGACGTTGTGTGGGACGTTGTGTGTGACGTTGTGTGTGACGTTGTGTGTGACGTTGTGTGTGACGTTATGTGTGATGTTGTGTGTGACGTTGTGTGTGACGTTGTGTGTGACGTTGTGTAGGACGTTGCGTGTGACGTTGCGTGGGACATTGTGTGTGACGTTGCGTGTGACGTTGTGTGTGACGTTGTGTGACGGCGAGGCTTAAAACGGCGCCGAGAAGACAAGGAACGCCCACCATCAGAGCTACAAATGGCGCCCATACTGAAGTCTTCACGGGTCAGTCTAAGACTGTCAAACATCTCTAAACATTTTAGGACGCCACACGGGCATATCCTTTAAATATCTCTTGTATAATGACAGTCTGAAGCCTCGGCAATCATCGTCCATGACTCTGAGTGTGTATGTACTTACTAGACTGATGCCCTACACAGACCCTGAGTGTGTATCTACTTACCAGACTGATGCCCTTAACAGACCATGAGTGTATATGTACTTACCAGACTGATGCCCTTAACAGACCCTGAGTGTGTATGTACTTACCAGACTGATGCCCTTAACAGACCCTAAGTGTGTATGTATTTACCAGACTGATGTCCTTAACAGACCCTGAGCGTGTATGTACTTACCAGACTGATGCCCTTAACAGACCCTGTGTGTGTGTACTTACCAGACTGATGCCCTTAACAGACCCTGAGCGTGTATGTACTTACCAGACTGATGCTCTTAACAGACCCTGTGTGTGTGTACTTACCAGACTGATGCCCTTAACAGACCCTGAGCGTGTATGTACTTACCAGACTGATGCCCTCAACAGCAAAGATGACGGCTCCGAAATAGAGCGGGATTTCGTCGATTGAGGTGAAATTCGGCCTTTCAGACATATCAGGCAGGCCTTGTACAATGTACTGTATGATGATTAGCAGGCCTTAGACAAAAAATATTGGGCATGATTAATAGAGATCAAATGTGGTGCAAGTAACATGTTTGAAACTTGACATCTTGTGGTATTTTCTTTGGTATTTTTATCCTCTTCTCATTTTCATTATTATTGTTTTTTATTTTTAATTCTTGTTTCCCGTCCTTCTTCAATTTTCTTCTTTTTTCTTTTTCTTCCTCTACTCCTACTACTACCACTACTACTACTGCTGCTGCTGCTGCTGCTTCTGTTACTGCTGCTTCTACTGCTACTATTCCTCCTCCTCTTCCTACATATACTACTGCAACTGTTGCTGCTGCACTACTGAATATTATTTCTAATACTACTAATCCATACTTCTATTCTTCTTTATATTCCTCTTCCTCCTCCTCTTCTTCTTTCTTCTTTTTTTTCTTCTTCTTCTTCTTCTTCTTCTTCTTCTTCTTCTTCTTCTTCTTCTTCTTCTTCTTCTTCTTCTTCTTCTTCTTTTTCTTCTTCTTCTTCTTTTTCTTCTTCTTTTTCTTCTTCTTCTTCTTCTTCTTCTTCTTCTTCTTCTTCTTCTTCTTCTTCTTCTTCTTCTTCTTCTTCTTCTTCTTCTTCTTCTTCTTCTTCTTCTTCTTCTTCTTCTTCTTCTTCTTCTTCTTCTTCTTCTTCTTCTTCTTCTTCTTCTTCTTCTTCTTCTTCTTCTTCTTCTTCTTCTTCTTCTTCTTCTTTTAAAGTTGATGTAAGAACATAAACATTAGCATATCAAATTGAAAATCAGCCGGGATAAACATCAAGAGAGGAATATATAAGCAGAAGAAGAAGAAGAAGAAGAAGAAGAAGAAGAAGAAGAAGAAGAAGAAGAAGAAGAAGAAGAAGAAGAAGAAGAAGAAGAAGAAGAAGAAGAAGAAGAAGAAGAAGAAGAAGAAGAATAAGAAGAAGAAGAAGAAGAAGAAAAAGAAGAAGAAGAAAAAGAAGAAGAAAAGGGATGATAATGATGATGATTATGGAGAAAATAATGCCTAATATGATAATAATGATGATAATGATTGTCGTGGAATGGTCAAACCCACCCCTACACATTAGACTTTTCGTAACGTTATTACCCCTAGGTCACATTTCAAAAATAGACCCGTCCGGTGAGTATATAGTCCATCATATCTATTTATACCTTTATCTAACGAAATAGATATGTCTATATGTTCTAGGTCTCTTGTGAAGTCTACATTTTCAAACTTACAGTTGTGGGGTAGAGATTTTCTATATTAATATTCGTAATCCGAGAAGCCTATTCACTCCTCGGCGTATTGATCTGGGAGCTTCTTTCTACGAAAGTGACGCTAAGTTCCCCCCGCTTCATTCTCTGTCAGTCTTCCAAGTAGAAATGATGTCCATGTATGCGCCTCTGAAAGTTATGCTCTAAATAGGCGGCTTTTGTATCAAGGACATTGCACATAGCTTGGGTAAGTTGATTATAGCTTACGAGTACCATGATATATGTATCGATAACTACCCTAACTAACCTAATATTAATGTAAATGTTTTAATCTAGCAATCTACTCGTTCTCTAACTTAGTTGGGAGGATTGGATCGAGATGAAGCCGGCAGATGTAATTGGGTGAATGCACAGTTTCTTTGCGCAGCGAGTGACACACAGTGACGTCATGGATTATTTATAGCAGACACTAACACAACACAGGGTCGACTCGTGTCAGTAGGTGGAAAATAATATATACACATGTGAGAGAGTAGTGGTCTGTGTGACTACAAGTGCAGATGTGAATGTGGAGAGATGATGTTCTCTGTCTAATAGAGTCCATCTGTCTCCACTGTAGAACTTGTCTCCTATCTCTTTTACTGACTGATCAACAGAGATACATGAAGACTTAAAATGTCTCATTATCCTGAGAGCTGTCCTCTGAGTGATTGCTAAGGGTGGAGGGTAAATCAATGAGCTGGGCATGTGACCTCTGAGATGACTAATAATTTTGAGTTCCTTCTTGACACAGAATGATATCTCCTTGGAGGCCAGGCAGTCAATCAGCAGTCCACAAAATCACCAACTACCAAACCATCACCATGGCAGACAGCAAAGTGGAAGCCAGAGTGTAGGCATCAGCTTACAGGCCGCCTATTTGTCATTAATCAGAGAGTACCCTCTTCGGGAGCTTGTTTGGGCTCCAGTGGCTGAGAGGCAGTTGTTCCAGGCACCAGGGCGAATACTATACCATAGTACCCTCTTCAGGAGCTTGTTCGGGCTCCAGTGATTAAACTCTGTTTGTAGCGGGTTTTACCAGATCAACCATCGAAGTGAACATTACCAATAGTGTCAGCCTGTTCAAGTAATAATGAACCGATGAGTGCAGTGACGTCAGCCGGGACTAGATAAGTAGAGAGACTCTGTGGTTTGATACCTTGTTCTATTTTTACTGGTCCACTCTGAGTCACCGTGACGAACCCAGACTGTCTCCAGGAGTCTCTTCGAGGATCCGTCAATGTTGCTTTGGTTTTGATCTCTCATTATTCCAGTTGTTCTTGAATATATTTGCTTGAGTCTTATATGATGTATATGTTGCATTTTTTACATGTCTTTTGAAGTTTTCATTATTGACTTGAGTGTCCATTATTCACTGTTCAAAACTGTGTAGAGTATATGTATGTATAACCAGTAATTTTAATCTGTGGTAATATGGCTATGATAGTACATTATTATAACCCGGGAGCTATTTCCTTATAGTAGTGGGGACGTCCAGCCAAGCTGCGCCTAGAAATATTATAGAATCTGTAGTGCCATAACTTAAGTTGCCCTACTCCTGAAATAGGTTGGGTGTATATTGGCCGCGGGATACCCTTTAGACCAACACGAGCCAACACCTCAACATTATTCTATTTCAAAGTACTGTTGGTTCTTAAGGAGAAATCCTTAAACAGGCACGCGACACGAGCGGTATGTGACAATGATGATAATGGTGGTGATGGCGATAAAAAAAAAAAAAAAGAAAAGAATACAAACATTAGTTTTTATCAGCTGATTACCTGTCAGAGTGAGTATGTTTGCGAACGCAGAAAAAGGCGCCAACATCTTCAGATTGCGGACACAAACATAGGGCAACAAGGCCGCGGTCACTAGAGTCTGGTACTCCACAACCGTTGGCCCATCCGTCAAAAAATGACTGCTGACCTGTAGGACACACACAAGTTAGTTGCCTGCCCTTTACAAGAATGGGTCAGTTTACGCCCATCCTAAGCTATTTATAGGTCCTTTCAAATAGTCACATGACATTACAGAAAGGAGTCCCTACGTCCTTCCTTCTTCGACCGATGTGTTCTTTGTTCGGATGTTTTGTGTGTTGAGGATACATACTTCATTAACTATATTTAACTGTTTTGTGGAGTGTGATTATATCAATAAAAATGCCTAGAAAATGTAGTATTCTTTTATGTAAATCTAATTATCGATCGACGAGTGAATATGTAACTGTATTCAAATTCCCAAGGGATTCTGAAATGAGAGATAAATGGAAGAAGTGCATACCACGTAAAGATTGATCGCCTAATAAATACAGCGTTGTGTGTCGTCATCATTGTCTTCCCCGTGATATTATTGTATCGAACAAATTTACAGATAAATCTGGTGTTGAACATGAGGTACCCAGAAGGTATCCTGGTTTAAAATCAAATGCATATCCATCTGTGTTTCCAGAACTGCCAGCCTACTTATCAATTGAAGTACCACAAGCTCGCAAAAATCCTGAAAAACGAGCATCATAAATTGTCAGCAGATTTAAATATAATAACAGCGAGTGGCTATCAATGAATATTGTATAGGATAGTCGGCCGTGATCAGTTCCACTATAATCTACCCACCGACCGCCCATATGCACATTAGCTCACTTCTGATTGGTCGACATTCAGTCATCCGACCTTCCCACTCTGCTAGGGGGTTGTTCGGCAATGCCGTTAATTTCGTGTGTTGTATATTTAAACCCGCTACTGCTTTTAACACTAAAAATATATCCCTTACGTCTTTCTTAGGACGTAATTTTTTGTTATTTGAAGCCACACTCTGGCTTTTGCCAGGGGCCGCAATAAAGGCAGGCCATCAATATGGCCAATTGTCTGAACGCGGTTTCTGGGACCTCTCCACGGTGATCCTCATCCGCATGGTGGCACTTTGTGTCATCGGGTGTTTATCGCTTGTGTGATGTCCTGGTGGGGTAGAAAGTCAGTGAGTTTAACACTAAAAAACATGTATAAACTGGGTCTAACACACAAATCCCCTAGAGAGTGCTGCAACCTATGTCACATGCATTCTCTTTCTCGGAAGAAAAACATAAATGCAAGACAAGCCAGAAAGGAAACAGCATGGCGGCAACCCGTAACACCCCCCTCCCCTCCCGGACAGCAGACGAGTCAAAAAAATTTATAAATGGAACGTAATGTTTGGGGAGATTATCATGGAACTGATCCGTATTCTTCAACTTTGTTTGCATCGCGGGACACCACAACAGGGGGAACCTTTTTGTGGCCCACCTCACAGTTAATAAAACACAGAAACAAAACTGATGCGTGCAACGTACCGTTCGCTTTGCAGGAATCATATAGCCGGAAGATCATTATCTTTATCAACTTCCACTTCTGACGCTAAGCGTTGGGGAAGGAGCAATTTGCGATGCATCTTCTTCTTCTACTACTACTACTACTACTACTACTACTACTACTACTACTACTACTACTACTACTACTACTACTACTACTACTACTACTACTACTACTACTACTACTACTACTACTACTACTTCTTCTTCTTCTTCTTCTTCAGAGATGAGACGGTTAAGTCGATTGATACGCCCTCTGGCGATCGTGGCTCCGTTTCACTGTTTCGTTGACGAAGGCAATATTTACAAATATCCCAGAGGATCGTAACCAGAGCCACAGAGTTCGTGCTGTATGCGACGCACCTGGCAGGCGACGAGCCATTTTGAAGAGACAGACCGAACTATAAGGGACACAACCTGGTGCAGTGATATGGGTCCTCTCGACTTTAACTTTGATAAGAGTTTAAGAAGGGCATATTTTCTAAAGTAAAGCTGTCCGAATTTCTCACGTTGGTGACACACTTTTTAGACAGACATCATTTCGCGACACAGCAATTCAGTCTGCTGAGAAGTTAGAGATTTGTAAACCCACACACTTGCCGATTATTCTATTAAATGCTTTACTTCCGCGCAACACACTTATGTGTCGCTACAGCCAGTTAGGACAGCTCTGCTCTAAAGAGTTATCATTAAACGTACGGTGAGTTCCTGGGTTTCGGGCCGTGTTAACACTAATGTTTGTACTCACCTCGTGGATATTTCAGACAATGAAGACAATATAGACACAACAAAACCCGAATGTTGGTACTCACCTCGTGGATATTTCAGGCAATGAAGACAATATAGACACAACAAAACCCGAATGTTGGTACTCACCTCGTGGATATTTCAGACAATGAAGACAATATAGACACAACAAAACCTGAATGTGTGTACTCACCTCGTGGATATTTCTGGCAATGAAGACAATATAGACACAACAAAACACAAATGTTGGTACTCACCTCGTGGATATTTCTGGCAATGAAGACAATATAGACACAACAAAACCCGAATGTTGGTACTCACCTCGTGGATATTTCTGGCAATGAAGACAATATAGACACAACAAAACCCGAATGTTGGTACTCACCTCGTGGATATTTCTGGCAATGAAGACAATATAGACACAACAAAACCCAAACTGTGTAAACACAAGGAGCGAGTTCACAAACACTCTGCGAAAGAAGAAGATATGAATGAATGAATGAATGATGAATGAATAAATGAATGATGAATGAATGAATCAAGCATTGTCATCACCGACCTCTTGACATTTCCACACTTGCTCCGTCCCCTTCTTCAGTAGCCAACGAAGAGTGGACATGTTAATAGTACCAGTTTAAACCTGTTCAAATCCGTCTATGTCCGCCCCTCGTTTTTCCTTTATGTTTTACTTCTCAGTGTTGAATATCCCCCAGAACATTTTCTTCGCCCACGTTGAATTCGTTGTCAATGTATTGACTGCACTTTGATGCCAGAGATATGTTGTGACTATTTTTAATATATTTGTTGAGAGATGTTTATCAAGAATATTTTTACAGACTCAGTGAACAATCATGCACGAGAGAGCTTCAAATGAAACTTCACAATTTTGATAGAAATGACGGCGATGTATGACCCGGTCGTGAACAGTCTGTCACAGAAGGCACGCAGTTTTAAAACTCTTTACTCCATTCATACACTTGCTGATCTGACAGGCATGCACCATCACACTGCACTTGACCTTCAATAGTCGATGGATTTCTGTAAGTTTAATTTCTCTGATTAAACAAACAAAAACTTATAACAGAATGCTGCTCCTCTTGGTGCATATCAAAAGTGGGACGGTCATCGTTAATATGTTACAGGACGTCACAGTGTTCGTATGCGCCGTAATATTACATGATTGACACTCTTGCCATCCTTAGCGTCAACAATGGCAGCTTACATTACCGTGTAATGGTTATTGTAATTTCTGTCACACTTCACATGTTTTTTTTTTTTTTTAAGCCTCCACCTACAGACTTCAACCAGAGGGAAGCTGGTGTGCAAACTGCGGTGCTAACTCCACACAAATGTCTGTGAGAGCGATGGTGCCTGGGGCGCATTTTTTTGGAGACCCTCTCAATTTGTCGGAGACAAAGGTTGAGCTCCCTTTCCCAATAATTGTTCGGATGATCTTTTAGAAGATGTTCAAGGAGCTTAGGTGGTTTCTTCAGCTTCTATGGTTTAGGCGTTGCCAACGCGCTACCTAATTCTGAGTTGCTCGGTTTGATTCCATCTGCTGGCGACTTCACAGCAGACCGCCTTACATTGGTTTCCTAAAGTGGTATCGAGAGATGACCGTTTAGAAAGCACTGGCAAACTATGAACGTAAAATTGTCAAGTAAAACCAGAACCGCCAAACAGTAAAATAATATTATTAATAGCAGCAGTAACAGCACCATCAGAAGGAGCAGCAGCAGCAGTAGTAGCAGTAACAGTAGTAGAGAAAGTAGCAGTAGTAACAATAGTGGTGGCTGTGGTAGTGATAGCAATGGAAGTAGTAGTGATAGTTGTAGTGGTAATGGTGATGGCGATGATTGTGTTTGTAGTAGTAGTGGCAGCAGCAGTAACACCAGCAGTAGTAGTATTAGTACTAACAACCATTGGTTCTTAGACGTAAAAGAAATAATCTCACAATGTAATGTTCGACGTTTACCATGACTCGATTCCCACAGGCGACACTCAGGCCGCAACTGTCGCTTGTTGTTTGACTTTGTGCGGCGCTGACCGGATTGGATTTTGTTTGCTTTGATATCATTTTATTTTTATGATTTAAGATTGACAGCACCGGAGACAAAGGCTGCGGACAGACATGACTACGAATCGCCACACGTCATAAACACTCATAAAAAAGAAAGAAATATGTTTTATCATGTTTCTTGCTTACCTCATGGCGCCTGAAAAGTTCCTTAATCGCGACGGTCCAGTCTTCAGCGCTGTGGCTAATACTTCGGCATAGTCCAGGGACACGGTGGAGGTTCTGTCACAGAGCAATCACGAATAAACACATCATTAAGATGCCACTATCAGCAAATCGATAATACGAGGATGAAAACATTCATTGCCCTGTTACGATATTGGTTTTAACAACAACGATGATAACGATAATGGTGATGATGATAAATGTGACGATTATGATAATGATGATGTTGACGACTCAATGAACATGCTGAAAAAGATAGCAACAACCGGTATGCGCTCTGAATGGGTAGAAAGCATTCAAAAATCGCACTTAACCCGTCCACACCTGGATCTACACGTAATGGGCGAGCGGACCAGTAGGCAAGCAATGCACTAAGGCATGTGGGAAAAAGCATGGCAGAGCAGGTATCAGCAACTCTGGCTAGTGGATAACGACGAATCTCTGACGCTAACACGACTGCGTGACATGGGAGTAAAGCGTGATGAAGAACGTCTATGTCGCCTTCGAGACGGCGATAGGAGACTGTAAGCGACCTCTCATGGGAACAATTAGTAGAAATAGCTTAGGGTAGTTGCTGCATCGAAGGACTGAGCACGCATGGGAATGCCTTGTGTGCAGTGACGTCGGTTGTGATAACAAAACATAACCCTGATAATAATGATGATGATGAGGATGACGATGGTCTGGTCTGGTGGAGATAATGATAATGATGGTGGTCTGGCGTTGATGATGATTTTGATGATGAAAAGCAGATGTTGCTATATGCTGATAAATCAAGTTACCTTTTACACAACTTGTGACTGCAGTAGACCAAGATATGCATGCAGTGGATGGAGATTGCGCCGATGCAAAGGATGCCAACGAGACCTGTCTGGGACGTTAGTATTTAACATTTTTAGTGTGCCTTCACTCACATCACAAGGGGACAGACACTATACATGTTAGTGTGCCTTTACCCACATCACAAGAGGACAGACAATATACATGTTAGTGTGCCTTTACCCACATCACAAGGGGACAGACAATATACATGTTAGTGTGCCTTTACCCACATCACAAGGGGACAGACAATATACATGTTAGTGTGCCTTTACCCACATCACAAGGGGACAGACAATATACATGTTAGTGTGCCTTTACCCACATCACAAGGAGACAGACAATATACATGTTAGTGTGCCTTCACTCACATCACAAGGAGACAGACAATATACATGTTAGTGTGCCTTCACTCACATCACAAGGAGACAGACAATATACATGTTAGTGTGCCTTTACCCACATCACAAGGAGACAGACAATATACATGTTAGTGTGCCTTTACCCACATCACAAGGAGACTGACAATATACATGTTAGTGTGCCTTTACCCACATCACAAGGAGACTGACAATATACATGTTAGTGTGCCTTTACCCACATCACAAGGAGACTGACAATATACATGTTAGTGTGCCTTTACCCACATCACAAGGAGACTGACAATATACATGTTAGTGTGCCTTTACCCACATCACAAGGGAACAGACAATATACATGTTAGTGTGCCTTCACCCACATCACAAGGGGACAGACAATATACATGTTAGTGTGCCTTCACCCACATCACAAGGGGACAGACAATATACATGTTAGTGTGCCTTTACCCACATCACAAGGGGACAGACAATATACATGTTAGTGTGCCTTTACCCACATCACAAGGGGACAGACAATATACATGTCAGTGTGCCTTTACCCACATAACAAGGGTGAACGCACAGGGTACAGACAATATACATGTTAGTGTGACTTCACTCACATCACAAGGGGACAGACAATGTACATGTTAGTGTGCGTTCACCCACATCACAAGGGGACAGACAATATACATGTTAGTGTGCCTTTACCCACATCACAAGGGGACAGACAATATACATGTTAGTGTGACTTCACTCACATAACAAGGGGACAGTCAATATACATGTTAGTGTGACTTCACTCCCATAACAAGGGGACAGACAATATACAGGTTAGTGTGCCTTCACACAAGAAGAAGAAGAAGAAGAAAAAGAAGAAGAAGAAGAAGAAGAAGAAGAAGAAGAAGAAGAAGAAGGACGAGAAGGATGAGGATGATGAGGAATAACAGGAAGAACAGAAAGATGAAGAAAGATAAAGAAAGAATAAATAAACAAGTGATAAGTCGGTAGATACACAAGAGTAGCAATGCTACATGACACGGACAATAACATTGGTAGTGCACCAAACACAAGGTTGGGGACAAATAAGCTGACATTCCCATAAGTGCTCCATCCTCATCTTCAGCAGAAAGTGAGGAGTCCAATTCTAATGATACCTGTATCAGTTTTCTTGTACATCTGTCTTGTCTTTCCTCTAATTGCAGTTTACAAGATCCCCGGGTCACTCCTTGCTGTACCATTCACTCCAGACCATAATGCCTCTGCATTGTTCACTTGCTCCCAAACTGCATTGGCCCTATCTGACTTATCATACACGAATTATCCTCTCATCGGTACAGAATCAGTCAATATATCTGTCTTTTAATTTCCCAAAGCTCCTGGATACCCTGAGAAAATATCCAGAGAACCCCGACTACCCGGGACCTCTGAAGCGATGCTTGCCACTCTGCACGAACCCTAAGAATATGACAAGACTACAACTAGGGCCACCATTATACATGTTTTTTTTTTCCTTCTAGATCACCGGGCTGAAAAGATTAATTACTCGCTCTACAAAAGAATTGAAACCTGAACCATTGTCGCATAAAAATAAATGAAACATTGTGCTATGCCAAAAAACTGAACTCTAATATTTTTACAAATGATACAGTAAAAAGTGTTTCTCTACATATTTCAGGCATTAAACGTATCTAGAATTATGAGATTTAACAAGACCTACAGATAAAGCTATAAGTGTGTGTACTGTTCCTGAGCTAATTCCCAGATTTGTGAAAACGGGACAAATGGCGACGGTCAGGGCAAACCTAAATACGGGAAAGTCCCGGTGAAGATAAACACATGATCACCCCATGAACAGCAGTTTATTTATCACAGAACTCGGGGCATTCCCATAAACGCTCCGTTTCCATCTTTAGCAGCCAGCGAAGAGTTCCAATACTAATGGTGCCAGTAACATTTTGATTAAACGTTTGTCTTGCTTTCCCTCTGAGCCTCGAGCATCTGCCAGAACCTCTGGTCACTCCCCCCCCCCCCTGCATCAATCTCACCAGACTGGGGTGATCCATCTGCTCCCCCGAACTGTACACGCTCTCTCACAAGGCTTGAGTTTATTTACAATACATATAAGTTATACACACCCAAATGCCAGCATGCTTCACTGCCTGTGGTAAAGCTAGTATTCCTATTCCGATGTTGCCTTTCAACAAATGCATCAGAGTCTGTGTGTTGCTAGCAGAAGCAAACAGAAAAACGATAGAAATATATTCATATAAGTAAAGTAAAGTAAGTAAAGATCCCTTTTCACGCCTTTCGGCGTATCGGGCATATGGGCAGAGCGTCCCATATTTTTACAGACCATCAGCACTCGGTAGGTAATGTAGTCAGCATTACGCCGGCTGTCTTTACTTTCCCAGGACAGCCCATCCTAGTACCCATTTTAGGCTGGGGCGGCGTCCGTGGCTAAGGCGTTGCGAGTCCGACTCGTAAGCCAGCATAACGCGATCGAAACCCACTGCAGGCTGCGTGGATTTTTGTCGTGGTATGGGACGTCGCAGGTCGACCCAGCCTAGAATGGGTACCAGGAAAGTAAAGACAGCCGGCGTAATGCTGACCACATTACCCACAGTGCTGATGGTCTGTAAAAATATGGGACGCTCTGCCCATATGCCCGATACGCCGAAAGGCGTGAAAAGGGAATTTATATTCATATACAAAACGATATTTAATATATGACTTTATGACGAACGTCTATGCGACCTGAACAGCGCGGGTAGGCTACAGTGACCTGTATAAAAGGCCCTTTACCTACAGACATTGTTTCCTACCCTCATTGTTTTAGATCCTTCCGGGCTGGTAAGTAAAGGACCCTTTTCCAGGCCCTCAGGCTTATTGGGCATGTAAGGCTAGAGCCATATTTTATAGACCAATCGGAACGTGATTGGTGGTGTGGTCAACATCACGCCGACAGCCTTTACTTCTCAGGACTGCACCTAGTACCAACTCGAAGCTGGGTCGATTTGGGAGCCAAGATCATTTTTAAAGAAAGCCCGGTTCCGTCAGGACTCGAACCCACGACCTTCCGATCCACAGGCTAGCGTCCAGCCACTACACCAAGCGACTTATTGTATAAATAAATCATCTCTAGACTCACAGTCAACTACAGTTTCATGACGGATGACAGAAAGAATAGTTCTCATCTCTTGTGATGGACGAACCACCGAACAGAACAGAAGAAACATGATGTGCCGACTTTAGTGTGGCAAATAAAAGAAGTTAATTTCCCAACATTTGCACTCGCCATCACTATAATCTGTGAGCCCCATGACTTACACACTGCATTTCCATAATCTGTGAGCCCCATGCCTCCTTATAGCACAATAAAACACTGCTGTCTGGAAAAATAGGGGGAAACCCCAAAAATACTGGATCTTGCAGAACGAGCCGCATCATTTTTGCTGTTGATTGTTGATTTCCATAGTCTATTTGATGTTCAGCAGTTTCATCTGCTTCTTCATCAGCATTATGAGTCCTTGATGTTCATAGCTACAGATATCACACAAATCCATTCATTCATTATGAATTTCGTTGTTGCATCTCACAGAAATACAATCTAGAATACAATCTGGAAACAAAATATACTATGCCCTTCAACATCTGCGAAAGTCAAAGTGTCTGTCTCGCAACACCAAGATCGAAATATATAAAATGTTGATAAGACCAGTCGTTTTATATGGCTGTGAAACTTGGAGCACAACTAAAAGAGATGAAACCTTATTACAGATTTTCGAAAACAGTCTTACGACGAATCTTTGGACCCATCAAAGATGCAAACAGCGGGGAATGGAGACTGAGAATCAACAATGCAATTCCTAATCTGTTTAAATCACCATTGATCACTGGCAGGCACCATGAAAGCTAATAGACTAAAATGGTTGGGGCATGTTGAAAAAAGGTCAGATGGCAGAGAAGTATATACAAGGAAGCTGAATGGCCGTAGACCAGGAGGCAGACCAAAAAAGAATACGAAGAGATAATATCTAGACAGACCTTCAAACACTTGGTGTCACCAACAGGAAAGAGAAGGCCAACCAGTTTAGAAGGGAATGGAGGCGGGCGTTATCTGCAGCAATGAACCATAAGGGATCTGAACGCTGAAGAAGGAGAAGAAAAAGAATAGGCATAAGTGCCTAGAAAGTTTGACTGACTGCTGTATTGAGCCGGTCATATAAATGCCGCAGAACGTCATCTTCCAGAAAAGTTAGTTGGACAGGTTGTGGTTTTTGTTGTTGTTGGGGGAGGGGGGGGGGGGCGCTGGGGGAGGGGGGCATCGCCATTTCTATGGTAATTGTTGTGGGAGGCTGGCAATAGCGCCTAAAAATGCCATCTGGATGTACATCAGAAAGCAATGTTTGTTTAAGAGTTTAAAATTCTATTTGTAGCGTGTCGCTGGAACAAATCTTTCTAACTCGGTTGAATAATGTCCGTTCTAGGCCTCGCTTGTATTGCAGGGGTGCCAAACGAACCAGCTCTCCATGGAAACAGTCAGTAGAGGTAACTTGGTGGCTGCTGCAGCAGATCGCTGAGACCACATGGAAATGCCCGATGTGCAGCGACGTCAATTGTGATAATATAACATCGCAACTCAAGAAGTTGTTTGCTGAAATCGGATGTGTTCGAACGAAAAAGCAAGTGTCGCAGCCTAGCTTTTAACAACAAGACAATTTGCCAGCTGCCGATCAAGGGCAAACACAGAACAGAAACATACATTCAGATATTCAAAGAAAGAAACTAAATAAATCAAAACGTACTTGATCTTCGTGACTTTTTCTGAACTGTTCGATATGATTATTTTTTGCTGTGCATCTGTCGGTTCAGAAATATTCGATACTCCATCAGCATCGGTGACAAGAACCCGGACACTTGCAGAAGATTCCGATTTATGTATACCACACTTGAAATTGGACGCAACATCCCCTGTCTTGAGATTTTTAACTTTTAGAATAAACGAACTTTCACTCAGTGAATCTGATTTGTTAATCGTCGTATTTTTAGTAGCTGACATTGTGTCCATTGCTGTTACACAAATTAATGAACTAAATGAATGTGCGTTATATCAAATGGCAAAAATATGCTCTGAAAATACAGTGGGCACGATATATCACAATTATGACACTGATTGTAAGAAGTAAAGTAAACGACCCTTTTTCACACCTTCAAGCGTATAGGGCATATAGGGCTAGACCTATGTTTTATAGACCTTTTGGCACTCGGCGAGAAGGCACTGATTGTTTTAAGGCAAATTATGTATGCAGACATTACTAATGCCGCTGCTGCTGCAGCAGTTTTTTGTTACTACAGTTGCTTCTGCTGCTGATACTACTGCTATTGGTTCACCTATAACTGCTATCGCTGCTACTACTAATACTACTATTTCAACAACTACTGCTGCTGCTGTTGTTACTACTGCTGCTGTTGTTACAACTACTACAACTACTATAGGCCTAGCACTGTGTGTCCAATAGCCCGAAGGCGTAGATAGGCTTTACTTATTACTATATATTATTGCTACTACCTCTATTATAACAATAGTTGCTGTTGTTACTACCGCTGCTGTTGTTACTACTGCTGCTGTATTTGCTACTACTGTTGCTGCTGCTGCTACTACCACATCTGCTAGTATTACTAACAATAATATTATTACTACTACTAGTACTATGAATATTACAACTATTACTATTACCACTACTACTACCACCACCACCATCACCACCGCAGTTGCTGCTGCTGCTGCTGCTGCTGCTGCTTTTACTACTACTACTACTACTACTACTACTACTACTACTACTACTACTACTACTACTACTACTACTACTACTACTACTACTACTACTACTACTACTACTACAACTACCACTACTACTACTACTGCTTCTACCACCACTACCACTACTACTACTACTACTACTACTACTACTACTACTACTACTACTACTACTACTACTACTGCTGCTACTACTACTACTACTACTACTGCTACTACTACTACTACTACTACTACTACTACTACTACTACTACTACTAGTACTACTACTACTACTACTACTACTACTACTACTACTACTACTACTACTACTACTACTACTACTATTACTACTACTAGTTATCCTATTATTGACTAAGAAATTCTTATCACTCTTCACAACCTGCCAAAGCAATTCTAAAGTTCACACGGAACACAATTAACTCCGATTTTATTCAAAAACTGACAGTAAACTTTTAGCCCAGTCACTGATCTTCAGTTATCTCAGTTAAAAATGATTAATGATAAACGTTTGGGGAATGTAGAATGTGGTAACATCAGAATGTTATCAATTGTATTTTCTGTACAGGGGTTCTAAACATTATTGTACACCTGTCACAAGATATGGACACCAATCATTTCATCATATGATCGCTGAGTTTGGACTTATGGTCATGGTCGTTTACAGCTTTAGGATTGATGTCCGCACCATCTACATCTCAAGGATTGTTGTGTGTATGATCTACACCTCAAGGATTGTTGTGTGTATGATCTACACCTCAAGGATTGTTGTGCACACAATCTACACCTCACGGATTGTTGTGCACACGATCTACACCTCAAGGATTGTTGTGTGTATGATCTACACCTCAAGAATTGTTGTGTGTATGATCTACACCTCAAGGATTGTTGTGCACACGATCTACATCTCAAGGATTGTTGTGCACACGATTTACACCTCAAGGATTGTTGTGCACACGATCTACACCTCAAGGATTGTTGTGCACACGATCTACACCTCAAGGATTGTTGTGTGTATGATCTAAACCTCAAGGATTGTTGTGTGTATGATCTACACCTCAAGGATTGTTGTGTGTATGATCTACACCTCAAGGATTGTTGTGTGTATGATCTACACTTCAAGGATTGTTGTGTGTATGATCTACACCTCAAGGATTGTTGTGCACACGATCTACACCTCAATGATTGTTGTGTGTATGATCTACACCTCAAGGATTGTTGTGTGTATGATCTACACCTCAAGGATTGTTGTGTGTATGATCTACACCTCAAGGATTGTTGTGTGTATGATCTACACCTCAAGGATTGTTGTGTGTATGGTCTACACCTCAAGGATTGTTGTGTGTATGATCTACACCTCAAGGATTGTTGTGTGTATGATCTACACCTCAAGGATTGTTGTGTGTACGATCTACACCTCAAGGATTGTTGTGTGTATGATCTAAACCTCAAGGATTGTTGTGCACACGATCTACACCTCAAGGATTGTTGTGTGTATGATCTACACCTCACGGATTGTGTGTGTACGATCTACACCTCAAGGATTGTTGTGCACACGATCTACACCTCAAGGATTGTTGTGCACACGATCTACACCTCAAGGATTGTTGTGTGTATGATCTACACCTCAAGGATTGTTGTGTGTACGATCTACACCTCAAGGATTGTTGTGCACACGATCTACACCTCAAGGATTGTTGTGCACACGATCTACACCTCAAGGATTGTTGTGCACACGATCTACACCTCAAGGATTGTTGTGCACACGATCTACACCTCAAGGATTGTTGTGCACACGATCTACACCTCAAGGATTGTTGTGCACACGATCTACACCTCAAGGATTGTTGTGCACACGATCTACACCTCAAGGATTGTTGTGCACACCATATAAACCTCAAGGATTGTTGTGTGTACGATCTAAACCTTAAGGATTGTTGTGTGTATGATCTACACCTCAAGGATTGTTGTGTGTATGATCTACACCTCAAGGATTGTTGTGTGTATGATCTACACCTCAAGGATTGTTGTGTGTATGATCTACACTTCAAGGATTGTTGTGTGTATGATCTACACCTCAAGGATTGTTGTGCACACGATCTACACCTCAAGGATTGTTGTGTGTATGATCTACACCTCAAGGATTGTTGTGTGTACGATCTACACCTCAAGGATTGTTGTGTGTACGATCTACACCTCAAGGATTGTTGTGTGTATGATCTAAACCTCAAGGATTGTTGTGTGTACGATCTACACCTCAAGGATTGTTGTGTGTACGATCTACACCTCAAGGATTGTTGTGCACACGATCTACACCCCAAGGATTGTTGTGTGTATGATCTACACCTCAAGGATTGTTGTGTGTATGATCTACACCTCAAGGATTGTTGTGCACACAATCTACACCTCAAGGATTGTTGTGTGTACGATCTACACCTCTTGGATTGTTGTGCACACAATCTACACCTCAAGGATTGTTGTGTGTATGATCTACACCTCAAGGATTGTTGTGTGTATGATCTACACCTCAAGGATTGTTGTGTGTATGATCTACACCTCAAGGATTGTTGTGTGTACGATCTACACCTCAAGGATTGTTGTGTGTACGATCTACACCTCAAGGATTGTTGTGTGTATGATCTACACCTCAAGGATTGTTGTGTGTATGATCTACACCTCAAGGATTGTTGTGTGTACGATCTACACCTCAAGGATTGTTGTGTGTACGATCTACACCTCAAGGATTGTTGTGTGTACGATCTACATCTCCAGGATTGTTGTGTGTACGATCTACACCTCCAGGATTGTTGTGTGTATGATCTACACCTCAAGGATTGTTGTGTGTACGATCTACACCTCAAGGATTGTTGTGTGTACGATCTACATCTCCAGGATTGTTGTGTGTACGATCTACACCTCAAGGATTGTTGTGTGTATGATCTACACCTCCAGGATTGTTGTGTGTACGATCTACACCTCAAGGATAAAAACAAGAAATCGCATAAACTACTCCAACCGCTCATGGGGCTTAAGATGAACACGGACCCCTTGGGTAGGAAATTGTACGATGCAAGAGAGAGCTGTTAAGAGATCGAGTGCCGGTCAGGCAGACCTGGATGAGAGCTGGCGAGTATCTGACAGGCAGACCTGGATGAGAGCTGGCGAGTGTCTGTCAGGTAATCCTGGATTAGAGCTGGCGAGTGTTTGACAGGTAATCCTGGATGAGAGCTGGCGAGTGTCTGTCAGGCAGACCTGGATGAGAGCTGGCGAGTGTCTGTCAGGCACACTCGGATGAGAGCTGGCGAGTGTCTGTCAGGTAATCCTGGATGAAAGCTGGCGAGTGTCTGTCAGGTAATCCTGGATGAGAGCTGGCGAGTGTCTGTCAGGTACCCCTGGATGAGAGCTGGCGAGTGTCTGTCAGGCAGACCTGGATGAGAGCTGGAGAGTGTCTGTCAGGTACACTTGGATCAGAGCTGGCGAGTGTCTGTCAGGTAATCCTGGATGAGAGCTGGCGAATGTCTGTCAGGTAATCCTGGATGAGAGCTGGCGAGTGTCTGTCAAGTAATCCTGGATGAGAGCTGGCGAGTGTCTGTCAGGTAATCCTGGATGAGAGCTGGCGAGTGTCTGTCATGTAATCCTGGATGAGAGTTGGCGAGTGTCTGTCATGTAATCTTGGATGAGAGCTGGCGAGTGTCTGTCAGGTAATCCTGGATGAGAGTTGGCCAGTGTCTGTCATGTAATCCTGGATGAGAGCTGGCGAGTGTCTGTCATGTAATCCTGGATGAGAGCTGGCGAGTGTCTGTCAGGTAATCCTGGATGAGAGCTGGCGAGTGTCTGTCAGGTAATCCTGGATGAGAGTTGGCAAGTGTCTGTCAGGCACACTTGGATGAGAGCTGGCGAGTGTCTGTCAGGCACACTTGGATGAGAGCTGGAGAGCGTCTGTCAGGCACACTTGGATGAGAGCTGGCGAGTGTCTGTCAGGCACACTTGGATGAGAGCTGGAGAGCGTCTGTCAGGCACACCTGGATGAGAGCTGGAGAGTGTCTGTCAGGCACACCTGGATGAGAGCTGGAGAGTGTCTGTCAGGCACTCTTGGATGAGAGCTGGAGAGTGTCTGTCAGGCACACCTGGATGAGAGCTACGTTCTGTAAATGACCTGCTGCGGGAGGATGAGATGAACGATAAGGCTAATCTCAAGCAAGAGATGTTCTTATGCAATGTGGGTGGGGCATTTGGGTAGTATCAGTAAA